GATTAATTTAAGGAAAAAATGTTCAAATAATCTGCAAACAATTAGCCTTTCCCAAAAGCTTCACATTACAGTACTGTACTCAGTTAATGGACTTTCTGGAATCAATTAGCCATATCATACAGCTTCATCCTTCTGAAGGAATTTAATAATTTATTTAGAAAATTTTCAAGTGATCTTGAAAAGATTAGCCATCCCAAAAGTTTTTCATTACACTATTCCGTTAATGGCCTTTTTGAGGTGTTTTGGATTCAATTACCTCTTTTATGTAGCTTAACACACAAGTCAGTTTATTGACTTCCCAGCAATAAAATGCATCAAGTACATTATCCAAGGCACCAATGAACACTTTGGAACCAATCAATCATTTATGTACTGCCTGCAGTTTCACACTCCTGAATAGGCTGAATAGTAAAAATATTTCACCTCACAAATCTCCAAAAAAAATGCATGTGAAAAACAATAACAAGCACTTCCCAAAACTTCCCATAACTAAGTTTATGAACTTTTGGGGGGCTTGGAACAAATTATCCATCTTTTTTAGCTTAATTTTTTATTGATAAATATGCTTCAGTTGCTGCTTGTCAGTGTTCACAAGATTCAAACATCCCCCCCCCCCCCATACACATCCATTCAGAAATAAGGATAAAGGATAAAAGAATAAAATATACATCACAACAGCACATACAAAATCCTTGATTTGGTCCTTTTTTTTTACAAAAGTGCACATCATCCAACAATTATAGTGATCACAATCTAAATCACAATAAAGATATTCAGCCTGCTGTTTCCAGATAATTATTAACACTTGATTGAATAATTTGGAAACAATCTTTGAGGATAAATTGTAAATGGCTGACACTTTTTCTTGGTCCTCCATGATTTCAGATGTGAGAATCTTTTTTTAAACATTAAATTGTGAAAATTCCAATTCTTTTGAAAGTTTTGTTCTGATGCTGTGGAATAATTCTGCTGGATGCTTATATATGCAACTCAGCTTATGGATTTCCCTCCACTGAAAATGCATTAAGTACGTAAACCGAGGCACCAATAAAAAAAACAATCTTTTCGCTCAGAGACACAAAAAAAATGCTCACTGTCTCTCTCCCTGCGTCAAGATTGAGACTGAGCATTGGGAATGCGCAACAGGCGAAAGCAACTGAAACTGGCGGAAAAGAGGCGGCCAGCATGGCGGGTTTTCGGTGTGGGGAACCCGGCGGCGGCGGCGGTGGCGGCGGCGGCGGCGCCACAGAAAGGAGAAAAAAACCTCTGGAATATTCTTGCTCCAATGTGGGACAGGGATGTGGATTGTATATGGGGAAAACTTTCAGTTATTGGGGACAGCAACGAGTTCTACTGATGCTAAAAAATGGTTCTCAAATACATTTTTTCCCCAATTCAAAAAAAAAATGTTGGGCCACTTTAGGAGAAAATTGTATTTCAGAGACCAGTGTGTCTCAATACAAATTGAACGGAGCCTTAAAATGCATTAAAAGGGTATTTATATGTGAGTGAAGAGTGGTCATTGTTAACTGGCATAAATTATATAATATATATAATTATACATATATAAATTATAATCTTGTTTATGAGAACTTGTATTGTACTCTGTTTATGTTTATGTATTTCTTATAGTACATGTTTCATTATTATATGAGCATTGTCTACTGAGATGATCACTTCTATAAGAAAGTAACAGTTATTTCTACCATTATCTTCAATTCAGTTTGCATGTGAATGTAATACACTTGAATCTGCTTACATTTGCAAATCTATTGCTTCTGATCAACATAACATGCACAAACAGTAAGAATCCCATCTGCAATCAAATTAAAAATCCTTAATGTCTCATTTTTAGTTCATGAGGTGAAAACTAAGGATTTTGCTAATGTTCAAAATGTACAAAAGACCAAGATGGCAACTGAGGCATGAGTAGAATCAATAGACTTCATGTATTTGATTCTGGATAAATTTAATATACAGTGATTGAGATACAGTATAACAGGCAAACATGTTTTCTTGGTGCATTATAACAAGAGGGTTTATTGATTTGCCTTTTATGATAGATAGGGTCTAATCTTTGATTAATATGTATGCAAAAAAAAGACCTTCTTCTTCAGTCTAGATAATCTCCTGTGAATTGAGTCACATTTCATGGTAAATCTTTGTGACACGCTTATTGATGCAGATCAGGCATCAGTAGAAAGAGCTTGACATTTTTTCCTGGAAAGAAATTGTTTTTTCCCCACCAATTATGACTCACCTGTGTAAGAAATGTTGGGCAATGAGTCAAAATTTCCTATTTTCTTTTCTGTAAATCATGTTTTTATTCACAGCAGTGTTGAAAACATTCTCAGGTGGACTCTCTCTCTCTTCAACAAAATTCAAGGTATCAGAAAAGATTGTTGCAGAGAGAATTTCACTGCATAAAGCCCCTCCAACATGGGAAATGAACCCCATGAGACCAAACAAAAATTTATTCTGCAGAGAAAAATGATTGTAGGCAAGGTTGCTGTAAAGAGGGTCCATCTGTAGGTTGAAAGTTGGTGTCAAAAAAATTAAAACCCTATATGATATGGGAAATGCACCCTTTGTGACCAGCAAACCAAACTTGTTTATGCAGAGAAAATCATTGTAGACAATAAGATTGCTAGAGAGAGAGAGAGAGAGAGAGAGAGAGAGAGAGAGAGAGTCCACTTTTCAACGACGACGAATCCGTATACTGTACTGTAGAACGATATGCTCAAATTATACCACGAACTATTTCCTCTTCATTCTCAAGTGCAATTTTCGTAAATGCATAAGCAGCTCGGCTGCAAATCGATTCCCTTAATTGAATTAATTTGTTCACTTTCCAGAGGATAATTTCAGAGACGAGAGAGAGAGAGAGAGAGAATGAGAGAGAGAGTCCACCTTTCATGTAAGTTGAAAAGTGGTGTCACATAAATTTATAATAACAATTTAAAATATCAATTGATATTATACTGTACATAATTTATAACATATATAATTTATAATTTATGATACAGTACATATATTATAGTTTTTAATCAATTTTATAATTTTCAAAGCTCTATAATTTGCAATCAGTGACCATGTCCCCAAAATCACCAGTATACTATGTACAGACATCATGGGACTGTCGGGATGGCGCGAAAGGCGCTTGTGCTGTCTGGGCCGTTACCCAGGAATCTGCTGGAAAGTTCGCCGCACTCCCTCTCCGCGAACGTGTGATATGTGGGTTGTTGGAGAAAGCCACAGCCTCCCTGCACCCCTCCCCCCCCTCCCCCACCTCATCCCTCCCTTGGACAAGGAGTTGCTGGACCTGCGTGCCAATGCATGCATGCGCATCATGCAGCAGTTATAGGAGTCTTACGACCCAGCGCGCATTCACAAATCCTGGCTGCCCATTGAGTGGACTTTTATTTTCTGGTTGTTACATCAGTAAAGTTGGATCCCCAACATGTACATGTCTCAAAATATATATACAGATGATTTGACTCATGGACACAGCATCTGGACAAGGTTTCAAGATATGGACACAGTGCCAATATTTCCCCCAAAAAATGATTTTTTTTATTGGGTATCTCTTGAAAATAGGGATTAGTTATAGTCATGCACATACAGCATAATCTATTTTCAACAAATCTCATCACAAATAATTTTTCAGCATGTAATAAAACCTCTTCTGAAGTTTTGGCAAAAAGCGCAGAGATTATATGTTGAAATAATCTCATTCCAACAAACTTCCCAATTCCAGTATAACAGACCTTTTTGAGGAATGCTCAATAGATACTTCAGGTAGAAGTTTTCTGACAACTAAGGTAGCCACAGCCTGAAATTCCCAATCCCAAATCCTATACTGACTTGTTTTGGTATAATAGCATGGATAGAAGCTGCAATCAATGCTGAGAAACATGCTTCCAAGAGATTCCAAACATCATCCTTCCAGAATGAAGAGATTTTCACATCAAACACCCAGAATGAACAGAATTATGAGATTTGTGCAACTGTTGTGATGCGTGATTGAAAATCATTTTTTCAGAATACTGTACAGTATCACTCAATTTTTCAAACTGCTGTACAGTATAATAAAAAATATGAGGATGCACAGAGAGGACAGATATTTAATTACAGGTGAACCTTGATAAGTTGAACCTCCCTGAGTCAAATTACTGTATTTCAAGTCCCTGTCTGAATTTCCTCATGTAATCAATACAGTACATTGAAAACCTCCATCATTGGAAGTCTTTTTCTATAAAACCTCTGTGAGTCAAATTTTGTGAGGCCTTCTGGTTATTATATCCTTGAAATATGGAAGAGAAAATTATTAAAACAAATAATTTGATGCATTTTGAAAGGAAGTGAAAGACAAATATAGCAAATGAACCCCTGTCTCCAAGTTCAGCAAGATGTAACCTCATTATGGAGCAAGTTTAGGCCCAGAATATACTCATGTATGATTTCCCATACTTTCTTCACTTCTCCTGACAACAAAAGTGTTTGTTTCCTCAAGTGGGAACCTCCAAAAATCAGAACCTCCTTAAATAAAAAAAATGTCCTCAATTTTTTTCCTGGTCCCTAGAAATTCAACTTGCTGAGGCACAACTGTAGTTATAAACAGGCCTGATGCAAACATTTTGTCCAGTCATTAATTTAGAAAATCTGATTACAACAAATCATTCAGTACAACAAACCTTTTCTGAAGTTCCCAAAAGTTCAGATGCATCAAAATATTTGCTTTAATGAGTTTCTCCTTAATATTTCAAGGAAATAATAACCCAAAGGCCTCAGAAAATTTGACTTTCAAGAATTTGAGTTTTAGAGAAAAAGACTTTAAGTTTGGGAGGCTTTTAATGCTTTGATTCCAAGGGAATTCAGACTGGGACTTGAAAAAATTTTACTTAGGGAGGAATTTGACTTTTCAAGATTCACCTTTATTAAAAATTAAATTGCAGAAATGTCACACAAAGAAAGAAATCTGTATTTCACAGCAAATTTGCATCAAATGAGGATTCCTAGCCCACAGAATGAACATCCATGGTTTTATTGCAGTCATTCTGACAATTTCACAAGCACGTACGGCAGCATCTTCATTCTAGAATATCTTGAAAACAGTCCTGAATTATATTACAAGTAGGATAGTGTAAATGTTCTAAGAAAATGATAAATCTCTCAATGTCACCCCAACTGTATCAATCTAATGATTAAAAAAAATAATGAGCCCAGTTTCTGGCAATACCCATCTTTCACACTAGCGACATCTAGTCTCGATTTTCTTCAGAATTGTATTGAGTTTCATTGCAAACAAAATCGCAGGAATGTTCCACACACACAAAAAAAAGACGTTTCTATTTATATTCCCCCCAAATGTTCCTCAAATGAGGATTCCCAGCACACGAAATGAACATCCACGGTTTTATTGCAGTCATCCCCTCGCAGTTTCGTTTCACGTCATATGGCGACACCCGGTCTGTCGAATGTGCGCCCTCCCCAAATAACCATCCGTTCCCATTTTCCTCCTCTTCCTTTAATTTACGTCCTTTTTCTCTGGATATATATACACATTATATAGCACAATTAATATTGCACTTGACTGGTCCTCGGCGATTCAGGTCACTAAATCTCAGTATATAGTCCAGCATATAATTCCAACCGCGTCAAAATACATATACAGCATAACTAAAATCATATTTCATGTTTTTCCGTCCGAATCTAATAATGACACGCAGAAATCTGGGTTACACTATAGTACTACTCCACAAATATATGAAATTGACGAATCGGATCCACGCACACACACACGCACGAAAGGAAAGTGAAAATTGAAAAAAAAAAAAAATCAGAAGAACTCGTGGAAAACGGCACTTCTGACTGGCACGTATCTGTGTGGAATGTCATCCATACTTTCCACTTCATGCAACTTTGAGAGGTGGTCATGGGTGCCTCTCCTGTCCTCGGCATGGATGGCATAGAAGAAGTCGGACGGCGTTTCCGAGCACCGCCTTTGGAGTATCTTCTCGGCTTCCTTGCCTTGTCTGTCTCTCCAAAAGGGCCCCAGGGGGTATTCATAGTTGAGCAGGGACGGGGTGATAATCTCCATGCTGTAACCAGGTGCCTGCAGAATAAAAAAAACATACACAGTGACCAAAAAAAAAAATGCTTGTGGTATGGTGGTCTGGATACAAGTGGTTCCCAACCTTTTTGGGCCCCATCACAGACTGGAAAATTTCCATGATTATTTTTTCTGGACCGGCAAATTTCCAAGAAAATTTTTGCAGACTGGCAAAGTTTCATACAACTGTTGCAGACTCAAAAAAGTTTTGTTTGAAAGACTTTTGTGGCAGGTATTCAAAAAGTTCCTGTTTTTGGCAACAACAAAAATTCAAGAACCAATGAATCAGATATAATGGAATGTCTTCAAAAAATGAGAAATAGGTGAAGTTGAATAAGAAAGGTTTCTCAGAAAAAAATCAAAATAATTTATTTCAGCAGTTGGAAAATTTATATGAAGCAGAAAATCTAACTTTCAGTTTTAATCAGATAATTTCAACTGTGTGTTTCAAAAAATATCAGATAAAGATAACAAACTACATTTCTACTATTGAAAATTTTATTATGTTTAATCTGCTGTTGGAAATAAATGCTGGTCCGTAAAAGAAGCCAGTCTCTATTGAAGGCATGGAGAGAAGTTTGGTACTGTATTTTAAATAAATGCCCATAGGGACAATTGTTAGATAATATATGAAACAGTATCATATTTATGTTCAAGTACAACACACCCTCACAAAAGACATGCATCCTAAATGTTTGTAGATGAAATTGACGCACACTTTTAACATTCAAAATAGAATCAAGAAATTTGAGAGTGACATCTTGACATGTGCAATGTAGGACAATACTGCATTTAATTGAGCATACCACAACCTCAAGTAATATCCAGGTTTTTTCATTTTTTAATCTGGGTATGCCCAAAATTTTGATGGAATGCAGTCCCCAAGTAAGAAGTATATACATCCCATTTTTACAGACTGAAGAACTGAAATATTTTAAACTTAAATTACACCAAAATTTGAACTAGGACATGAATCAAATAAAAATCAATCAAATTGATTCAATGAATTTTCAGCTAATGCTCCCACAAAAAATAATCCTGTTGAAATGGTTCCAAAATTCCCTATACTGTATTAGAATAAAAAAAAGATACACAGCTGTACTTCTAAATTATTTTGAAAATTTTATACATGCCTAATTCATTACATATTTTGACAATGGGAAACAATTTTTGAACCTTGTGAATTATTACAAGCAGCAAATAAAGCTTGCTTATCAATTTATTCATATAAATACCTTACATTTTGATTATTATTTTATACAGACCCTCCCTCATTCCTTTAAATTCTCAGAAAGAAATGTGCCTGTGGTGGTCAAGTAGACACAGTAATATAAGTAATGATGAGATTATGCTGTGGTGTGTGTAGAAGAACAGGTGTCAACTTACATCTGGTACAACATAGCACCCATGCTTGACCTTAGCAGGCTGCATAAAGTGCTCATGCATATGATTGTTGTACTCAATCACAGCATTGGTCCTGTCCCCTGAGATGCAAACATAGTTGAAAATGGCCAGGTGTTGAGCCATCTCACATAGGCCCAATCCGTCAGCATGTGGACACACAGGTACTCCAAATTTCTTGGCCAGCAGCATCACAGTGATGATCTCATTAACACCACCCAATCTGCATGCGTCAATTTGACAGAACTGAATGGCTCCTGCTTCCACCAGCTGCTTGAACATGACCCTGTTGTGGCAGTACTGCCCTGCTGCTATTCCAATCCCAAGTGGGGCAACAGCCTGGCGATTTACACACAAAAACACAAAAGAAGCAGGTCACTTCAATCCTTCTTTCTTTGATGCACCCATGCATCAATGTGCACATCTGTGATTTTTACTACACAGAAAAAAAAAACATTTGGATCTACAAAAATTAGCCTGGAACAGCACCAAAAACCAGGAGCAAAAACATTTTTACACACACACCTTGGAAATTGTAGCATGTCCAAGAATGTCTTCAGATGAAGTGGGATCTTGTACCCAAACAGGATTGAATTCAGACAATGCCCTGATGCATTTAATGGCCTGGTCCACTCCCCAAGACTGGTTTGCATGGAGCATCTAAAAAAAATGCATTAAAATCAGAATATGTCCCAGTAGGAGACCAACAGGATGCATGTAATCAAGGACATGTTGGTTATTTGCACCCCAAGTATAGTCAAGCATTTGTCACCACAATAACCTACATTCTTATGTAAAATTTGCTACATTTTGGGACTCAAAAGACATATTGACTACACAGTAGGGACTGTATTACAGATGAATTTCTCATCAACATGAACTTGTTGTGACAATATTCAACAGTACACATATCTTCACTTTTTCATTTTTCTATACAATTAAGAAGACGATAATGATACTTTAAAAACAAATCATTTTGACTGCAAGCAAAACACCTCCAGACTGAAGCACTACAATATGCATCATGCAAATAATACAGGTGGACTCTCCAAAACAAAATTCAAGGAACCATAAAAAATCATTGTAGAGAGAATATTGTTGTCGATAACTCTTATAATACCTTAAGCCTTAAGGGAACAAAAAAAATATGTTACACAGAGAAAATTATTGTAGACAAGATCATTGTAGAGAGAGTCCACTTGTTCACAGTACTGTGAAATCTTTTCACAACAAAGATGCCAATGGGGCTGGCAGAAAAATTTTGCAAAAATTGCAAAGCAAATTTTTCTTTAGAAATATCCTCAAATAACATTGTGGTTACTGGGTATAGGGACCTATAATAAATTATTGTAAGCAATACTGCTGTACATATATTTGTACAAACCATTGCATGAGTCCACCACTGCTTGCTTTTTCAACCCCATTTTTAATGTTATCAGGCAGGTGTCGCCTGAGTAAAAAACTTCAACAACTTTAGACCCAAAACAGTTCAATACAATAACTGTAAGTCTGTAACATAGGTGTCGCCTGTGAATCATTAACGTAGTATCTCTCAAGTCAGAACTTGATCAGGTTATGCGAGGTTAACTAATACTGTACGTACATAGATGTCGCCTAATCGTAAACTTTGCACACAGGTGGGTGAGCTCTCTATACAATAACAATATTGTCTACAACAATTCCATCAGCATAACATTATTATTTTTTATTTTGTCCCATAGGGTTAAACAGTATTTCTATATTATTCCTCTTCTCAACAATGATTTTTTTCTGGTCCCTTGGAGAGACTCCACCAGCATAAGCTTGACACCCGAAAGATTCAGGCGACACCTACGTATCAGTTCACGCAATCTCCTGTTTCCGGGACATCGTCTCCAGAAATTAAATACTGTATTGCAGACAAATATCACGAAAATGAGGAACATTGTTTTTTTCGGTCGTCACCAGGGTTCTGTCGGATCCAATAATCCTCCTGATGAATGTCAACCTTTCTCTGTCTTTGTCAATGGTGTCATCGCCGACTTCCACCTTGAATCTGGTGAAGCCGGATTGCATGGCGTACTGCAATTTGCTGCGGGTAGTTTCCTGACTGTAACCCAGACATCCTGTTGGGGATTTAATGGAGAAAGAAAAAAATAATAAAGGATCGCGTTTGTTTTTTCTTTTTTTTTCTGCCCCCAGGATGATGTGGAATATTATACCTCCGGTGTTTGTGTAGCAGGGAAAACCATTTGCCCGGACAATATCTTCCCTCGATTCTTTCCCGCGTTCCATGGATTTCAGGATGGTGAGTGCTTCCTGTTTTGTTAATGCGTCTCCGCTAAAAAATAATAATAAAAACATTGATTAAACAGAAACAGGGACTTGAGTATATGAATGTCACATAATCCGAGGATTTTTAAAAATACAGCTTATTAATATTCTGTACACATTTTTATCTCACAATTTCTGAAAGAGCACCCAAAAAATAATAATTAAAGTTCCTCAGAAGTGCCTAATGATTGGTATTGGGACCCCAATAACATACGGACGCCTCGACACATGGACAATTCAATTTATGGATACTGCTGGTTTTAATTGACACAAAAATCTAATTAAAATTTGGGAAGAACGTGCTTAAATTTGAATTTTTACGCCTATACCGGTACATATTAATTGTTTCAATTCACTTATTGTACTGCATTTGCTTTCGCTTCAAATTTTCATTTTATTTGAGTCTGAAAATACTGTACTGTACACCTTTATTCATTCTGGCGGCCCTTGAAAAAACAATTTATTCATACTCTTTTGAAAGTTTTCAAAATGCGACGTGCACCGAAACTTTACAAAATTCGCAGAGAAAACAAAAATTATACTTTCAGTATTTGTCAACGAGGGTTCAGCTGATTCAAAACAAATTAAATTGCGATATTTTTGGGTGTTTGTTTGTTGCAAAATGCGGCGATACTCACAGATACGTGAAGTCTAAATAGCCAATGAGGTCTTCGGGATTCATGTCCGTCAACAGTTTCCACAGGGGTTTGTTCTCCATCCGACCCCAGAGATCCCAGACAGCATTCACAATGGCACTGGCTGCCAAATGTACAAGGCCCAGTTCCTCTCCAAGCTATATTACACATCAAAAAGTTCAAGAATAATAAATAAATTCTTCTCTGCATGGATAACCAAAAAAAAATGATGGGAATCTTCCTCCTCTGGCTCAGTCAACCTTTTTTTTTTTTTTCTTCTAAAATTTTCAAACACCAATTAAAAATTATATAATGTAAGTCTAAGGGAAAATGAGACTCGACTTAGGGACACTCTTTATGCGCCAATTACGTCCGCATTTTGGGGTCTTACTGCATCTGGAAAAATTGTATTCATCAAGGTACCACTGTATATACTGTACATATTTTCTAAAATGACAGACTCTCATGTATAAGAAACTCTCAATAGAGATGGATTCTCTCTACAATGATCTTGTCCGCAACGATTTTTCTTTGTTCAACGAATTTTTCTTTGGTCCAATAGGATCCTTTCCCCATATTACAGGGGGTTCTCCACAACAAAATTCTCACTACAACGAATTTTTTTCTGGTCCCTTGATTTCAGCTGTGAAGTCCACTTTTTGTCTGTACAAAAAACTGCTGAAGGTACCCTTGAAAATTATTCATCACAAAATCAAAAAATATATACAGTATTTAAGGTTTAATTTTAGAATAAGAGATACATTTCTTGACATGAAATTTTTTCTGGCCATACTCAAAGATTATCTCAGCAGGAATCAGCAACGAATTTGCTTTTATTTATTTTATTTTATTTTATTTTATAAAATAAAATAAATATAATTTATTTTTTCATGTCGAGAAGCAACATGTCCACCGTAAGAATCATCATCAACCAGAAATTATTATTGAATTAATATAATTTCTTCTTGTCAATATATACTTTTTTGACAACTGCCGTGAGTAACAAATACAAAAATAATTCATAATTACTCTTTTTTAAAGACAAGGCGAAACATGTGGGGGCAAATTGAAAAATTCTGAGAAGTGTACTGTATAAAGGAAAAAAAATTAGGGAACCCCCCCCCCCCCCAAAATAGCAATGTTGAAAATTTCGAAAATGAACCAAACTAAGTCATAATGTGGGATGTGTTTGGATTTGTAAATATACTGTACAATACTGTACTGCAACCAATAATGAACCATAAGAAGATATCGATAATCTAGATACTCTTCTCAAAAATCCAGTTCGTTTCCCTCTAACATAGGTGTCGCCTGAATCTCGTCACAAGCTATTACTTAGCACTTAGCAGTGTACTGTATTTACTAAAGTACCAAGCGCTCGAATAATGTACAAGACATGCGCTCATTAAAAAATTTCAAGACAACAAAATGTTGAGAAAACTCAATTTTCGCATAATTAGCGCTGCCTGCTGGTTTTAATTGACACAAAAATCTAATTAAAAATTTGAGAAGAACGGGCTTAAACTTGAAATTGTACGCATATACCGGTACATATTAATTGTTTCAATTCACTTATTGTACTGCATTTGCTTTCGCTTCAAATTTTCATTTTATTTTGATTCTGAAAATACTGTACTGTACACCTTTATTCATTCTGGCGGCCCTTGAAAAAATAATTTATTCATACTCTTTTGAAAGTTTTCAAAATGCGACGTGCACCGAAACTTCACAAAATTCGCAGAGAAAAAAAATTTCTACTTTCAGTATTTGTCAACGAGGGTTCAGCTGATTCAAAAAAAATTAAATTGCGATATTTTTGTGTGTTTTTTTTGTTGCAAAATGCGGCGATACTCACAGATACGTGAAGTCTAGATAGCCAATGAGGTCTTCGGGATTCATGTCCGTCAACAGTTTCCACAGGGGTTTGTTCTCCATACGACCCCAGAGATCCCAGACAGCATTCACAATGGCACTGGCTGCCAAATGTACAAGGCCCAGTTCCTCTCCAAGCTATATTACACATCAAAAAGTTAAAGAATAATAAATAAATTCTTCTCTGCATGGATAACCAAAAAAAAAATGATGGGAATCTTCCTCCTCTGGCTCAGTCAACCTTTTTTTTTTTTTGCTGCTAAAATTATCAGCCATGTTGAAACGTATAGGGGAATAATTATAGAAGTAGATTAAAAAATTACTCTAAAAAACCACGTTTTCAAAAAGCAAAAAATAANAACAGACAAGAAAGTGAGTTCATAAAAACATGGTAATATAAAGACTTCATTGAGAACTGAAACATATTCTTTACATCCACTGCTGTAAGCACAACATTTTGACAAAATAAAAATAAACCTAGAAAATTGCAAAATTCCAGTTGGATGAATTTCCAGAATAACTAACCAATTCTTGCTAATCATATATACAAAGGGTGAAACAAAAAGTTTTTGGAATACAAATTGAAATGGCATACAATTGAGCAACAACAAAAAACAATTGTTGTTCAGAAAAGGCATTTGTTATCCAGGAAAGGAATGATGTATTCCTTTCCCAAAAATATTTGCACTTATGTCCAATTGATAAATTGCTTTAGCTGCTTTGTTTTCATGTGTTTGCCCCCAGGAATGACTTGAATCCATTTCACCCCCATTTTTGATCCAGCTTATCTTACCCCCAAAAAATGGGAAATGTTTAAGAAGGAAAAGTCACCCCCAAATCCCCAACAGGTAATTATTTGTTTTCCCTGTTTCCCCCTTTTTGTGGCCAGCTGAGAATATTTAACAACCGGAATCTATCCTATCCTCATATGACAGTTGATTGATTTACCAAAAGATCAAATTCTGGCCCCATTCCTACATTAAATTCCTATATGGATTAGGATTTTAGCAGAGATTGGCACTGGCAAAGAGCTGATGCAATGTACATACCCTTTTTGCTCATATTATTTCAGCAAAAGTATTTAAAGGTGTGCAATTCTGTGAATTCCCCAGAATTCTTGTCCAGTGATCTCCCAGAGTTCCCCCAGTGAAGGTTCTGAGTATGTAGAAACAAAGCTAGACTTGTACTTCAACTTTAAATTGGGACTTGAGTTTGTGATCTGGACTTGACATTCCTCTTTCAAACTTCACTTGATGAAGTTTGTCTTATTGCTGAGTGTTCTGTGAATATTTATGTTTACAGTATTGTGAATGTATTTTAACAGATGTATAATAAATTGTTGTAAAAATTACATCAAACTCACAGTCCTTTTCAGTTTAGAAACTGATAGTAAAAAAGGACAACACATTCTTTGGCATGAGAAAAAAAATTTGCCCAGTTTTGACAAATTTCACTGAAAATATTTGCAAAAGTCAACCTGGCAGCTTTCTGCTTTTAAATAAATTATCAAAAGATCTTTTGATGAGTGAAGAGCAGAAAGCTGCTGGCTTGGTGACTTTTGCAAAAATCTCTGCAGAATATGTCAAACAGGGCGTTAAACTAATTTTCTTGTGCCGAAGAACGCTTCTGAATAAAAAAAAATTTCTGCTCAATCCTATACCATTTCAATTTGTATTCTGAGAACTTACTTTGTCATATACCTGTATGTATATAACTGCTCAATTTATATTTTTCACATTTTTACTCTGCGGAATTTGTACAAATTTAATAACGTCATAAATGCATTTTAGATATTTTTGTATTATGCTGTAGCTTATGAATGAAGCCATCTTTCATGCAATTTTCTAGAGTTGCGCAAAAAATTAAGAGCTTAAAGCTAGACTAAATTACTTTTTAAAATTCAAGTTTCAGCAAGAGTCCAAAAGTCGACCAGTTTCTCTTCATCAAGGATTTGCCATTATTGTACAACAGATATATTTACCAACATTATTCACCCCATTATTTTTGCGATTTATTCATGATAAAAAAATTGTAATGCTTCCAGGTTCTTACCCATCGAGAATGTGAGTCAGTCAATTTCCGCCAGAAGCCGGCAAAGTCGTCAACGATGCTCTGAAACTGTTGCCCAACAACTAGAGGCGACAGTGTTTTCACTGCTTCCACGACTGAAATAAAAAATACAGTTATTAAAATTCGGAAACGAAATTATTAGGACATCAAATATTTCTTAATAGCTAAAAGGGAAAACAAAAAGAGATGACAACTATTCGATTTATTATTTTTTTTAGCCTAACTCATCCCACATTTTCTTACTTATTTTCCTGACTTTCCCATGAAAAAATTAATAAGAAAGGCTCAACATGAGGACATTTACTCAACATAGGGACATTTTGCGATAAAACTGAAAATAAGTTTCATGCCAAATTACAAGAAACAGATATTTCCAACCCTAAAATTGATGTAAGAAAAGTTCTTGGGCATTTCTCTCACCAATTTACCATCCATTTAGCTAATTTTGAAAAATTACCTCCAGAAGAGAGGGATTTCCTTCTCTTTTTCACTTGAATGCTATTTTTACAGAGAATGCCAACATTTCTATGTACTGTACAGAGGTATCAGTATTCAATTCCCCAGATGTCCATATTGTGTTGAAATATATTGATTAATCAGTTTAAATTGGGAGACAATTTTTATTGTCATGGAATTATGGTGAATATTTTTTCAATAAAACACAAATTAAAAAATTATATAATGTAAGTCTCAGGGAAAATGAGACTCAACTTGGGGAAATTTCGACTTAGGGACAATCTTGATGCACCAATTATGTCTGCATCTTTTGGGGTCTCATTGTATTTCAAGTATTTCTTGGAATATATATTTTTCAAGTAGCTATAGGTAAATTTCATTATTTTTGGTCCTTTCTTATTTTTTTGTGGCCTGGTGGACATTAAAATAATTTTTTGCTATAGTTGTTCATTCTTTATTTTAGGCTAAAATCAAAAGTCTGAAACTAATAATGAGTCTTCGAATAGGATGATGAGCTCTAAGCTGGGCTCTGAACGTGAGACCCCGGGATGTGGACGTAATTTGGGTTGGGATTCAATGACTTCAATAGTAACTCCTTTTATTGGTTCTCCAGTTCATCAAAAAATTGGAAATAAATCCCCAAAAAATCTGATAAAATGTGCTTCTCAACTTAAAAAATAGAGATTATAACTGTAGAAGAAACCCACACAGAATCTGATCTGTTCTGGCATCAAAAGGGCAAAAATCAAGAAAAAAGAAAATCACAAAAATAACTTTTTTCATCACAAATTTGAGTGCATTAAAAAAAATTAATTTTTACGACAATCAATGAACACAACCAACTCGATTTTTTCGAGAGATATTGAAATTTGTGAGAATTAAAAATTGTCCAAGAAATTTTGGCAGTGTCCGTATGTCGAGTCTGATTTTTTTTCTTCAAAATTTCAAGTCTCCCCAAGTCAAATCGTCCGTATTTCGGGGTCTCACTATTATAGAGACCCTGTCTAAGAATAATACAGGAAGCAGTCCTTGCTTTCTGAATTCAAATTTTCCCGGAAACTCGGCACAACTTTGATTATTCAGAGCCCCTCATCGGTTTATGTATACAGTATACATAGACATTTCATGGTGGAATCCGTTTTCAAAACTTTAATCACGCTTCGTCCTTCCAATATGTTTATTCTGTTTTTATTTCCCGGAATTCAACCAGGAAAGTTCTTCAATAATATGCATTATTGGAATGGCTGCTGCCCGGAAATATTCCGGACTTCTGAATAATAAACTGAGTAAAATATTGTGAAGTATCTGAAATAAAACTAGAAGTATAAATTTGATCACATTTCAATCACTGCATTCTTTCCAGAAAATGTTGAAGCCCCTCTAGGGCTTATATGCTATCAAAAAAAAATTGTTAAAATCCATCTTTGTAACTTGAATCAGCGCTCTTTCCTTATCACAATTTTATTTTTCGGAACCGTTTTCGAAAAACTTTCCCCAACATATATTCCAACGGATGTTAAAAAAAAACAAAGACTGCTGAATTATTTGAAAAATTTATAAAGTCGGACCTCCTTTAACTTGAACCTCCCTTAAGTCAAAAACCTCCCAAACTCTAATATTTTCACACCAGAAAAAAAAAACTGCGGCATATGATCCAGTAAATTTCAGTTTCTTGTAAAAAAAAAAGCCCTTATAGACGGGGTTTGTCCTCCTTTGGAGCGACATCTGGTATTTCTATACAAGGTATAATTGTAAATAATACAGTATTACAGTGAAGTATATAATACGAGTATAGCTCATAATGTTCTAAGTTTCTGTGATTTTTTCAGGATTAAAAATTTTTTTTTTCAAGTTACTCCATGATGATGAGTGAAAACTTTCCAGCAGTTACGCCAGAGGTCTCCACGCTCCTCACAGGGTGCTGAAAAATTGTCATACCAGGTTAAAATCAAAAAGTCTTTGTTGTTTTAACCAATGTAGAAAAGATTATTAAAAAAACAAAATTCAATTTTTTACCTGGCCTGCATTTTTTCTTTCAAAACACACTGTGACATGCGTGGAGAACTCTGGCCATAACTGAGAAGTCTTCATCACACAGTAAATGCAAAAAAAATTGTTTAAATCCGAAAAAAAAATCATAGAACCTTAAAGCATCATGGACTACATCATAATTTTTTATTATATAAACAAGGTCGCGCCCAAGTGGGAAAACCCTCGTATATAAACTTTTTTTTTTTCAAAAATCATTCGCTGAACCATTGGTCAAAAAATCCAGTCAACCGAAAAGTAATTATGTTTCAACTCCAACTTTCCATCGATGCGAAAAAAAAATAAAAATAAAATGTCTGCGCTCAAGCGCGAATTCAATCCACTCGAAACAGATAGAGAAGAATTACGCGTCAAATAATACGACTCGAACTAATGCGATATTTCGGCAAATCGAGGAAAGGACGAGAAAAAACCCTACGATAAAACATTAAAATAAAAATTAAACCGAGGTGGAAATATGAAATGGAAAGAGAAATATCACACGGCTCACTGAGTTCTGTTCCTGATCCAGTGGTGAAGGAAAGTCCGAATCCTTTGGTACCGTGATCCGTGAAGAGAACAACGTATGCGCAGGCGAAACACTTCGGATTCTTGATCTACACGAGTATGTACAACTGATTAATAGATTGAAACAAATTTTGGTAATAAAATGAATGAATTTGGGACTCTCGTAAAATGTAAATTGGACTTCGAATTCAAGAGGACAAATAAACAATAAATTCGGGTTTCTCGTCGGGAACTGAGTTTCAACAGCAAGTTTACAAAAAAATTCGGAAACCAAAAAATTATTCGGATTCCTTCTAGAATGGAAATATGTATTAAATTACACAGAAGAGTAATAAAAATATGGGTTTCTCGGAAAATGAAGGGTTAAATGCATTCAGACACAACTCGTCGGGATCCTTGTGAAATGAAAATCAAATTTTGAACACATAAGGGTTAAAAAAAATGAATTCCGCTTTCTCTCGGAAAATGGGAAATGTTCTTCAAATCCAAGGTAAAATACCTTCTGTTGAAAATAAATTCAAGTTTCTCGTAGAATTAAAATTCGATTTCAAGCGTGCGAAGCGTCAGAAAAATACATTTGTGATGTTTCTCCGAGAATGGGTTTCGAATGGAAGGGAAACTAAATTCCTTCAAAGAATGAATTCGAGGTCCTTCCAAAATAATAATCGGAATTAAAATCCGCAAAGGTTGTAGATAAACGTTCGATCTAAATTCACGATTAAAATAGCAAATTTCAGATCGATTCAAAATGGCGCATCCTCGTTTCATATTCCGCATACGTACTTGCTCAATGCTTTCAAAACTCAATTTATCATCATTAACGAATTTACACTCGTAAACACGGGAAGGAAAAAATATATTCATTCTACATTAAAATGTGGCCAGACAGAGTTTTTCTATCATTTGAGTCATACAGTATCTCAAAATATCAGCAACACGTGGGGATCTCAGACGGATCAGACCAAATTAATTACAGAAATATTATTTAAAATACAGTAAATCATTTTCCAAAAAAAAAAAACCGCAAGCATAATACTGTATATTTCACGTAACGATCAAGAAAATTCCAGATTTTATCCACACGGAATCGATGCTTGAATTCATAATGAAGGAGTGCTGATGATAATAAAGTTTATAAAATTGCATAAATGACTGTTGAATTGCATAAATGACGAATGAACGCAAATCTCGTGCGAACACCTTTCTCCTTAAATGAACTCATGAAATGTATAATATAACGTGCATGCTTTACATAAATTAGATGGCAAATAAGAACGCACTTATGAATGAACTGTCATCTTAATCTCACGTGTTTATGGATGATAAGGAAGAAAAATGTCAAATTCTAAAACGGAGATATTCCCTACTCGATTGGAACTACTGTACAGTAATGCACTTCCACAAAAATTAGGATGATTTTCCAAGGAAATGCAGCTTCTCAAATGGCTTCAATTTCAATGTGGCTTAAATTTAAATTCCAAAAGCCCTGCTGTTCAATTTTTTTTTCTCGAGGAGATATCAGCACTAGTTCAGCAGGAGACCAACATTACAATAATACCAGCTGTAAGGGCATCTACGATTACTATAGTCATTACCGTATATTTTTCTCTCCACCCTGTTTACATAGCTTCAAGAAAGACAAATTGCGTTTTGTGTTTTCAAATTGACAAAAAAAAGGTTGAACGCGCGCGACTGCTGTTTACGATGACAAAATTAACGCGGAACAATAATAAAGTATCAAATACGACCGCCGAACGTTGTTTGTTCCGAGTTTTTCTCCGGTATATGTCACTGATGAAACTTTCTCTGGAATCTTCCAGAACATTATTCCACTATTGTCATTATATATACAGGCGGTAAAATAGTCTTCTGTACCAGGTCAGTTGCTTTGTCAAACGTTAGAACTGAGGATGTTGATGAAAATCTGCAGATATGACCGCGGATATCCACCACAAGATTTGTGATAACACACCGCCGACTCTTCAAACTAGGAAAATCGTTCAAGAAGCTGATGCAAAGCAACAGTTAATAGTCTTAATACATCGTGAAAATGTGCTCATATGTCATACCCTCAAAATCAGAGGTATCTCAGAATTTACGTTAAAACTCGATATAAAACTCGAACCTCTCTGTATAAGTCAAATACCTATCCCTTTATACACGTCAAGCTGCATTAATAAATAAAAACCTCACTGCGTCGGAGGCTTCCTCCATAAACTCGAATTATCTGGAGCACTTTCGGCTATTATTCTAGTTATTGACACAGGAAAGAGGAAAGCAATAAAAACGTAATGAATTGGTGTGTTTTGAAAGACTATTTCGGCAAGTGAACCCTTGTCTCCAAGTTCAGCATCCTGTCAGAACCGATTTCCCAGGATCCGAGGCCCATGCAGGATATCAACGATTACAATTTCCTTCCCAAAATAAAAATGCTTACAGTACTTCCCAAACTTGAAGCCTCTCTATAACTCGATTTGTTTTGCTGGTTCCTCATTTAGGACCTTGAAGATGTTCGACCGAAAACTGTCTTTGATACCAAGATTCAGCTCACCTGTTGTTCGGATTCATCGAGTCTCGCCAATCGCGGGAACGGCTCACTGAGTTCTGTTCCTGATCCAGTGGTGAAGGAAAGTCCGAATCCTTTGGTACCGTGATCCGTGAAGAGAACAACGTATGCGCAGGCGAAACACTTCGGATTCTTGATCTACACGAGTATACAATAAATGCAAACAACCCATTGATAGATTGAAACAAATTTCGGTAATAAAATGAATGAATTTGGGACTCTCGTAAAATGGAAATTGGACTTCAAATTCAAGAGAACAAATGAACAATAAATTCGGGTTAGTCGTCGGGAACTGAGTTTTAACAGCAAGTTTTAAAAAATTCGGGAACCAAAAAATTATTCGGATTCCTTCTAGAATGGAAATAAGGTATTAAATTACACAGAAGAGTAATAAAAATATGGGTTTCTCGGAAAATGAGTTTCAAAACAAGGGCTGAATACAATACATTCAGACACAAACTCGGATTCCTTGTGAAATGGATATTACACTTTAAAATTCTAAATACATTATCAGGGTTTTGAAAAAATGAATTCTACTTTCTCTCGGAAAATGTGTTTCAAATCGAAGGTGAAATACCTTCTGTTGAAAATGAATTCAAGTTTCTCGTAAAAATTAAAATTGGAAACATTTGTGATGTTTCTCCGAGAATGGGTTTCATATGGAAGGTAAACTAAATTCCAGCAAAGAATGAATTCGAGGTCCTTGCCAAATAATAATCGGAATTAAAATGCACAAAGGTTGTAGATAAACGTTTGACCTACATTCACGATTAAAATAGAAACTTTTAGGATGAAGCATCCTCGGTCTATATTCCGTATACGTACTTGCTCACTGCTTTCAAAGCCTAAGGTATCATCATTTGCAAATTTACACTTGTAAACACAAAAAGAAAATAAATATTCATTTTACATTAAAATGCGTCCAGACACAGTTTTTCTTTGAGTCATATCTCAAAATATTGTATCAGCAACACGTGGGGTCTCAGACGGATCAGACCAAATTAATTACAGAAATATTATTTAAAATACAGTAAATCATTTGCCAAAAAAAAACGCAAGCATAATACTGTATATTTCACGTAACGATCAAGAAAATTCCAGATTTTATCCACACGGAATCGATGCTTGAATTCATAATGAAGGAGTGCTGATGATAATAAGGTTTATAAAATTGCAGAAATGACTGCATAAGAGACGAATGAACACAAATCTCGTGCGAACACGCTTCTCCTCAAATGAACTCATGAAATGTATATTATAACGTGCATGCTTTACATAAATTAGATGGCAAATAAGAACGCACTTATGAATGAACTGTCATCTTAATCTCACGTGTTTATGGATGATAAGGAAGAAAAATATCAAATTCTAAAACGGAGATATTCCCTACTCGATTGGAACTACTGTACAGTAATTCACTTCCACAAAAATTAGGATGATTTTCCAAGGAAATGCAGCTTCTCAAATGGCTTCAATTTCAATGTGGCTTAAATTTAAATTCCAAAAGCCCCGCTATTCAATTTTTTTTTTTCTCGAGGAGATATCAGCACTAGTTCAGTAGGAGACCAACATTACAATAATACCAGCTGTAAGGGCATCTACGATTACTAGTCATTACCGTATATTTTTCTCTCCACCCTGTTTACATAGCTTCAAGAACGACAAATTGCGTTTTGTATTTTCAAATTGACAAAAAGGTTGAACGCGCGCGACTGCTGTTTACGATGACGAAATTAACGCGGAACAATAAAGTATTAAATACGACCGCCGAACGTTGTTTGTTCCGAGTTTTTCTCCGGTATATGTCACACATCACTGATAAAACGTTCTATGGAATCTTCCAGAACATTATTCCGCTATTGTCGTTATATATACAGGCGGTTAAATAGTCTTCTGTACCAGCTCAGTTGCTTTGTCAAACGTTAAAACTGAGGATCATGTTGATGAAAATCTGCAGATATGACCGCGGATATCCACCACATGATGTGATATATAACACACCGCCGACTCTTCAAACTGGGAAAATTGTTCAAGAAGCTGATGCAAAGCAACAGTTAACACATCGTGAAAATGTGCTCATATGTCATATCCTCAAAATCAGAGGTATCTCAGAATTTACGTTAAAACTCGATATAAAACTCGAACCTCTCTGTATAAGTCAAATACCTATCCCTATACACGTCAAGCTGTATTGATAAATAAAAACCTCACTGCGTCGAAGGCTTCCTCCATAAACTCGAATTATCTGGAGCCCTTTCGGCTATTATTCTATTTATTGACACAGCAAAGAGGAAAGCAATAAAAACGTAAAGAATTGGTGTGTTTTGAAAGACTATTTCGGCACTTGAACCCTTGTCTCCAAGTTCAGCATCCTGTCAGAACCGATTTCCCAGGATCCGAGGCCCATGCAGGATATCAAAGATTACAATTTCCTTCCCAGAATAAAAATGATTACAGTACTTCCCAAACTTGAAGCCTATCTATAACTCGATTTGTTTTGCTGGTTCCTCATTTAGGACCTTGAAGATGTTCGACCGAAAACTGTCTTTGATACCAAGATTCAGCTCACCTGTTGTTCGGATTCATCGAGTCTCGCCAATCGCGGGAACCGTATGTCACGCACACTCAGTCCACGGATTCTCACTTCCGTCGTCATTATATCGTTGCAATTAAACCATCAAAGAACACAATATTCGTCCAGCAAGGAGCAAATCACGCGTTTGATGCTGCCACACCACAGTTCACAGAACAATATCTTAGATTCCTCTACACACTCGGACGCGAGAAGGTCATTCACTGCGCGGAAACTGAACGGTTGCGAACCGGAATGCTCAGAGCAGGAAAACATGTGACATGCTCCTTGTCATGGACAAGGCGCGCATATGATAATGAAGTGGGCGTTCTGCGTGTGTAAGCTTCTTTGCCCCATTACACCATGCCTGCATCTCCCCCATTACACACACCGGATTCCACACGCCAGCCCTCCATTTGATAAGATTGACAGAATATGCTCATCAGATGGATGAATGATGTGCCATAGGATAAGGGGTTGAAGTACAGGAGTGCATGAAACCCAAGGTATACTCTAACTCTAACAGCTCCCAGCAGCATCCTGACAAAATCACACATCATTGCTATGGCACAATAATGCATGCAGCACAGGGTCCAAAAAGCAACCCAATAATCACTTGGTTTATGCTATCAAATTAGTCTTTTTTGGATACCATCTTGTGAGCTCAATAAATATATACATATACAGACACACACATATATATATACATCTATATTTATAATTTTGGAAGTGGATTGAAACAAAACTTTTAACAATAAATATACAGTATGCGTGTAATATATGTTGAACCTCATCTTATTTCAGTCTGATTCCATAAGGGAAGTAGACGGAACAGAAAAAAGGAAGGTATTTGCTGAGTTACATGTAGAATTATAGCTAGATGTCTTAGTTACGGAGGTTCAACAAATGCATGCACTTATATATATATACAGCACATCAGTCTAATAAAAGTACCACGAAATATAAATATGTTTAAAAAATAGCACCGAGACAGTGCCAAAAGCTATATTAATTATGCAAAACTCGGGTAAAAATGAAAATATTTTACCACCAAACAATAACAACAGCACTGCACAAAACAGATCCAACATTTATGATGCAGGGACCCAATTACACATCACATTTACGACTGAGGGTTCCAGATGAAACTGACACATACGAATAATATTTTTCTCTTGTCAATCATGCAGTCATCACTTGCAAAATGAAGCTTCAAGAGCCATCAAGTAAACGAGGAAGCGTTTTTCAATCAATGAAAAATCTCATTCTTGGAGACAATTTATCGCAAGTTTCTCCAACTCCGTTTTTCTGATACTGAACCAGCAGCAAGTGTCTGGGTTAACTGCTGCTGCTTGCGCGGAAGCCAGCAGCAACAGGCATGCATACAGTATGTATACTGTAAATGGAGTGTTTGGGTTCGAAGAAGTGGCAACCAGTTGCTGGGTGCATTCATCCGATGGTCCCTCTTCATTCCTTCAAGGCTATCAACCTTGGGACCCACAAATACATGCGCAGTGAGAGTTCCACGAAAGTCAATAGACGCTTACTGTACTGTATAGGAACTGTTCGATGTACAGTACAGCACATCATTATGATGTTCCTGGATAATGATGACCTAGAATCGTTACTACGCTCTGTGTTTTTGAACTTCAAAGGAACTTCTCGATGTCACAAATGGCGCTCATGTTTCGGGCAAGACTGATTCAACGACGTCGCAACTTCCGCCGCACCTGTGAAATCGACAGATTCGTTCATTTGGCGTGCAAAGTATGTCGGAATGATGATCGTGTGTTTCTTCCATAAACGAAAAATTCAGGTTTACAAGTGTGTGTGAAATCTAGTGCGGAGCGGTGGGCAGGATGGTTTACCTTAACGAGGATGGCGACCCCATGAGCAAAACGATCACGTTGGAGTATTTGTTTCCGCCGGGTTCGTTGTACCGTTACCATTACTTCGACACGCCTGATAAAGACGATATCCACAAGAAATTGTTTTACTTGAACAAAAGAGCTATACCGATGGCGCTGGTGTATGCCGGTGTTAACGCTCACATTCTGGAAAACGCTACAAAGCTCCAGAGAGCCCGCGTTTTTGCGAAGTTTTTCTGGCCCTTGCCAACTGCAGCTGTTGCTTATGTGTAAGTCGTAGCGATAAGTTGTACGTATATTTGAATCAGAGTTGATGGGGGAACAAATTCTCTTTTAGTGCAACGTCATCACTCTCCGCCAACCTCCGGGGTAAAGATGATTCCGTGAATCATCTGTTTGCTGGATTTGCTGCATTTTACACGCTTGCTGTAGGAATCATAGCAGCGAAACCGGGTGTAGCCACGGTTGCGGGCGTACTTGGTGGTGTTGGGTGCGCTTTGTACAAGAAGGCTGCGATCATGGAGGGCTTCTCCCTCGTGAATCTCCCCAACAACCGTCAAGTATGTCTTGAGAGACCACGCGACTTCACGATCACGGACCCGCGTATGGATCAGCGTTTCAAATCCTCCGTTTGGTGAATGTGGTGCTTAGCCGAACCTCGTGATTAGTGTGTCTTGTAACCAACCTTCTTGAATGAAATGTACAGTAATTGCTCTAGTGTCGACACATCATGGTTTTCCTTCTTCACGCGCTATTTCGCCGCTTTCGGAAATTTTCATTACTATCCTTCATCTGCAGAAGTTCGCTCAAAATGTTCAGTGAACCGGACGAAGTTGAGACCGCGATCCTTGAGGATTTCGGTGATGCGTCAGAATTGAAGGTAGGAAAGCATAGGGTCGTTTTATGTAGTTCCGAATTATGTAGTATTTTTGTTTCTAGCGTTTGGAAGCTCTCTACTTCCGGCAGCAAGAGCGAATGGAAAATGATCCTAAAGTTCGATGGGATTACGCACACTCTCCGCCAACCTCCGGGGTAAAGATGATTCCGTGAATCATCTGTTTGCTGGATTTGCTGCATTTTACACGCTTGCTGTAGGAATCATAGCAGCGAAACCGGGTGTAGCCACGGTTGCGGGCGTCCTTGGTGGCGTTGGGTGCGCTTTGTACAAGAAGGCTGCGATCATGGAGGGCTTCTCCCTCGTAAATCTCCCCAACAACCGTCAAGTATGTCTTGAGAGACCACGCGATTTCACGATCACGGACCCGCGTATGGATCAGCGTTTCAAATCCTCTGTTTGGTGAATGTGGTGCTTAGCCGAACCTCGTGATTAGTGTCTTGTAACCAACCTTCTTGCATGAAATGTACAGTAATTGCTCTAGTGTCGACACATCATGGTTTTCCTTCTTCACGCGCTATTTCACCGCTTTCGGAAATTTTCATCACTATCCTTCATCTGCAGAAGTTCGCTCAAAATGTTCAGTGAACCGGACGAAGTTGAGACCGCGATCCTTGAGGATTTCGGTGATGCGTCAGAATTGAAGGTTGGAAAGCATAGGGTCGTTTTATGTAGTTCCGAATTATGTAGTATTTTTGTTTCTAGCGTTTGGAAGCTCTCTACTTCCGGCAGCAAGAGCGAATGGAAAATGATCCTAAAGTTCGATGGGATTACGCCATTAGTTTGGTGCGCTCGAAATACATGGCTGACATCAAAAGCGGGCGCAGAATGATGGAAGAAATCATGGCCGACCCGGCTAATGAAGAAATTCAAATCGACTGCTTGTACTTTTTATCGCTGGCATGCGCTAAGCTGAAGGTCGGTACCTGAATTTTGATGCGGTTTTTGAATTCGGTTGAACTGGCAATGTGCTATGATGCAGGATTACAAAGATGCCTTACAGTATGTTCGAGAGCTGCTTCGAAGAAAACCGAATCACATGCAAGCTGTGCAGTTGGAGCGGATAATTTCTGGAAGGCTTGAAAGAGGTAGGTAATGTTTTTTGCCGGTTGCATAGATGGATTTTAGTTCAGTAAACGCAGGTGTTTGGGACATTTTTAATTTGTTCGTGTGTTTAAAATTTAGCATTCTTACTGAAAAATGCATCGAATTCACCTGATATTCGTTCAGGAGTTTAAAAATTTGTTCGGAAGACATGATATTGCAGAAAATGTGATAATTATTCCATGGATATCGCACTTGAGAGTTAGTTGATGCTTTGCTCATTTGCATAAAATAGAAAATGAATTCGTGTGAGTTGAAATTTTTTTTTAAACTGCCGAGGACATCTTACCAATTGATCATTGTGATGGGCAGAGTGATTTGATGTTAATCGTGAATTTTTAAGTTTGCTTTGACTTTTTGGACACCTTGAATTTTTTCGAGGTCAGTCTCTCTCCAAGTATCCTTAGTTTTCGCGAAATTTTCGAAGAAAGATCGTTCTAATCGGCTGAGAATTTCTTTATAATTTTTCTTTATCGAGTGACTTTTCCAAATATTTTCAGAGGGAATGAAAGGGATGGCGATCCTTGGTGGCGCTGCAATGGGAATCGGTGCTTTGATCGGTCTTGGCGTTGCTCTGGCCCGCAGGAAGTGATTTTAATTTTCCTGATGCGTAAGAGTTGAGAAGATGTGAGCCGATGTCCGAGCAACGTTGCTTTTCAATTTCGAAGCACATGTTGCGGGCCATTTATGTCTACAGTCGTGTTGCGTGAGCGTTGCACTCCCTCCAATCGGTTGTTTTTTTCGAAAAGAAGCTTTCCAATTTTATTTTATTTTCCCCCTTGGTGTTGAATCGCGAACAGTTCCGTTGAGACTTCCCATTTTTTGTGATTGCACCATGCGTGGACATTCACGGGCGACAGGATGAAGAATCATGATTGCGTGGATTGTTTATGTATGGTGATCTGATGAGTGTATTTAGAAAAGTGTTAGACGAGTCCTGTCTTATTTCGGATTAATTTTAAAAAAAATTGAAATTATGGATCGGTGATTTTTATGAAGTTTCAGACATGAAACGCTGGCGGATGAGTGTAGACAAGCAGGACTCGCTGCTGAAGCTGATGATACTCAGCCTCGCTGCGATCCTGTCGTTCTCCTCGCGCTTGTTCTCAGTGCTTCGGTTCGAATCCGTTATCCACGAATTTGATCCCTACTTCAACTATCGCACAACCAAGTTCCTGTCCGAAGATGGCTTCTATAGTTTTCACAACTGGTTCGATGATCGTGTCTGGTACCCACTTGGACGCATCACTGGGGGTAAAGAATTTTTTTTTTTCGTTCGAAGAATTAGATCCACTGTTGGTCCCAGCACATTTTTTGCTTGAGTGGAAAGTGTCTTAAATTTCTTGCGACCGATTTGAAAAATATTTTTGATGAGCTCAACTCCTTCTGTTGGTGCAATTGCTAATACAGTACCGTATTTGCTCGAATAACACTGACCCTTGAGTAAGTTCACAATTTTTCAGCCTAAAATTGGAATAGAATGTTTCCCAGAAAAAGACGCGCTCCCTGTTTTTAAGGACTGAAAATTGAAAAAAAACAGGGACGCTCTCTGAAACTATATTGTCGACAAAAATTTTCTCTCTGTACTGTAATGCATTTTTTAGTTTTGGTCCATGGGGTTCTTTCCCCATATTATCGGTTTTTTTCTGCAGCAAAATTCTCTCCACAGCATATTTTTTCTGGCCCCCAGAATTGTATTGTAGAGAGAGTCCATCCGTAATTTGAAAATAAAATGCACCAGAATTTAAATTTTTGCTTCGATTGTGGTCAATTCGAATTTTAATCTTCAGTCATATTCATTTTTCAAATTGTTCGTAAAAATTGGTCAATAATGTTTCGTTGGACTAAAAAATGAGATGCTCCAAAGCTTTGCATAATTTTAAAATTTTATGACGCGCTCCCTTTTTTCTCGTTAATTTAAAAAAGTGTATGTAGTACATGAGTAAATACGATATTACGTTGCATAAAAATTGCGAGGCCCTGAAAAATCCTTGAATATACTTGTGTTCCAACGTTAAATTGGGGTTGATTGCTTCTATTTTCTTGTGTTTTCATTTTTATTACTGTTGAACTTTATCACTCTAACCTCCCTACTTCGAATTTTTTGAAGTCCCTGAGAGTTTCTCTGAACTCCCTTAGAAAGAGTGCATTAAAAAAACTCGCGAATTCAAAAGCTTTTTTCCCCTCAAACCCTCTGTAACTCAAATTTTGTAAAGGCATTTTGGCCATCATTTGTGGACACAGGAAAGTGACAAGCAGTAAAAAATGTCACTTGATGTGTTATGAAAGGAATTGAATGAGTAATTGGGGCAATTGAACCCTCGCCTCGTGGTTCAATGTCTGGAAAACTTCTTCACAAGGCAGTTTTATGACAAAAAAATACGCTAATTACAACTCCGTCTAATTCTTCTTTTTTTAAAGGCAAAAATGGTAGTTTCTCTAACTGGAGACCTGTTCGAAGTTAATTTTTTGTTGTTGATTCCTTCAAATTCTACTCAGAAAGGTTGAAACTTATTTTATTTATAGGAACAATTTATCCGGGCTTGATGGTGACGTCGGCCACGCTCTACAACGTCCTCCACTGGCTGAACTTCACTGTGGACATAAGAAACGTGTGCGTGTTCCTCGCTCCGTTTTTTAGTTCGCTGACAACGATCGTCACTTACCACTTGACTAAAGAGTTGTCGAATCCCGGCGCGGGACTCGTGGCAGCGGCGATGATCTCCATCGTACCTGGTTACATTTCCCGCTCCGTCGCCGGGTCCTACGACAATGAAGGAATTGCAATTTTTTGCATGCTCTTTACTTACTATGCGTGGATCAAGGCCGTGAAGACGGGAAGTCTCAGCTGGTCCGTGATTTGCGCGCTTGCGTACTTTTACATGGTTGGTATTCATTCATTTATTTTTAATCCCGATGTTTTTTTTTTTTTAGCTGTGTGAAGACAGGTGATGGGAACTATTTTTAGACGGAATTTCCCATCTGAACCGCGTCGAAGGAGTAATTGAAGCAAGACTGTTCATTTGTTTAGGATTTGTTTTGTCAAATGCTGATCAGACTTGGAACAATTCCCTGTCTGATTGTATTTTTTTTTCGAGTGTACTTTTTAGCTGCGTGAACTCGGGTGATGGGGAATTATTTTTGGACGGAATTCCCTCAGAACTATCGAAGGATTAGTTGAAGCAAGAATCTTTTTAAGGAATTTTTAGTGAATTGCTTACCAGACTTGGCACAACTTCCTGCCTGATTTTTTCAAAGTTAACTTTTATAACAATATTTGTGGACGGAATTCACTCCGGATCTTCGATGGAGTAATTGGAACAAGACTTGAATTTGTTGAACTTTTCTCGTCAGTTGCTGACCAGGCTTGGAACAACTTCCTGCTCATCAATTCATATCTATGTCGTGAAAGTTTGAAAATTGCTCAGATCAAAATGATTCTCGATTGGAATTTGGTTGACAGGTTTGGGATATTGTCACTAGAACGGATTTAACAATTACAGTACTTGAAATGTTCGTTGGCGCTTTGACAGCTCGCAAATTCCTCGGGAGTATTCGTTAATCCGGAATGGAGGTAAATTTCATTTCCCAGCAGTGATGACGTGTGATTGAAACTGCAATATCTTTCTTATTTCCCATTTCAAAACGTATGATCGGACGTTTTTGATAATTACGAGAAAATTGTGGAGTAATATTTTTCGAAAATTCCGTTATGCTTATCCACGCTTGTCAATGTTCGAACTATACATTGCAAAACGTATGAGCCAACCCTCGTGACGGACATGAGATTCGTGGATTATTTTAAAATATGCCAAAAGAAGATAACCTTGCAATTTTGGTTTCCTTTTTTTTATTTCACGATGCGAAACGCATCTGCAATGTCTGTGAGCGGTGGATGGTATTAATCTCTTCTGTTCATTGAAAAAAGTCATTTTAAATTTTGGCATCACAGAGTTTCTAGACGTGGAAATCGTTTGAGTGTGGCTTTGAAATTGAAAATTTGCCTGAAGTGACGGAATTGTATTTTTTCCCTCAGGTGTCGTCGTGGGGAGGATACGTGTTTCTCATCAACCTAATTCCTCTTCACGTGCTTGCCCTGATGATCTCGGGGAGGTTCTCCCATCGGGTTTATGTTGCGTACACGACGCTGTATTGCACTGGCACAATTTTGTCAATGCAAATCCCTTTCGTGGGATTCCAGCCCGTGTTGACGTCGGAGCATATGGGGGTGAGTTTTTATCTGAAGCGTATTCCAGTGTTTTCTTATTTTTTTCGTTGTTGCTTGAACACCCAGTGTGGATGACTCAGTAATTTTATTTGCTGCTACTGTACATTTTTGCAGAAATGTAAACACACTTCGAGCGTGATGAAGAAATTTTTATGATCAGGCGTATTTTTTGAATGCAGTATCTTTATACGATTGTACCACAGTCCTATAGAATTGAAGTGCGAATTTCCTTCGCATCCGAACCATGTTTCAAATGACGACCATTTTGGGTTCTTCTCGCTTGAATGCTTAACGTCACCCAATCCGCGATGAACTTTTTTCTGAGACTTGTCGAAGTTTTTGTTATCTAATTATATCGTGTGATGTTGGGTTGATAAGAGCAATTAGGGTCATATGGAACCGGTCTTGGTGAAAGAGTTCAGGTGCTGTAATATCAACTCTTGCGATTTTAATCCTCGCTTTTTGGGCACATTGGAAAACAAGAGCGGAGATTCAAGTGAAAATGATCGCATTATTCTTTGATGTTTTCACATAATTATCCATGTACACTGGTATGTAATGGTGGTACAGTAGTATGATACCCGGAAAAGTTGTTCAGCTGATGTAATCATCGAATAAATTTTCACACTTCTGTCATAGCCACGTTAGATGCGGAATATAGTTTCTGGTTTGTCTGGTAGGTGTCGCTTCACGTTCAATTGAACGTCGAGCGGCCATAATTATCCCTTCTTTGATGATATCCCGTATTTGTTAATGTATTTAATGGTGGTACAGCAGTGTCATGTGCCGAAAATTTGTTCAGGTGATGTCATCATTGTAAAATTTATGACACTTCTGTAATACTGTACTCACATGAGATATTGAGGACCGTTTCTGGTGTGTCTGGTAGGTGTCGCTTCTTATTCGAACCCGGATTCAGCGCTCTCTCAGTTTAGGCGATGATACTTTTCCATCCTTTGATAATTTTACATAATTATTTATTTCTGCGGTGGTGGTACAATTATATCATACATCGAAAAGTTGTTAAGCTGATGTCATTATACTCGTGCATAATCGAATACATTTTGACATTGCTGTGATGGTGAGGTACGGATGGTAGTTCTTGGTGAGTACGTTGTGTGTTGCTTCAAATTCGAACCCGAACGTATGTCACGAAGATTTTCTAATTTTTTTGATAAATTTCCCATAATTTTTCATGCGTTTAATGGGGGCATACAATTATCGAGCGCCGAAAATGGGTTGAGCGAATGCCAACGTCGAATAAATTTTTACACTTCTATGATGTCCACGTGAGATACTGAGGACAGTTTCTGGTTTGTCTGATCGGTGTCGCATCAAGTTCGAACGCAGATTAAGCTGATGAACTGTAATTAAACTTAGGCGACCCATTTGTGATAAAAAGTTAAATCGTCGAATTGTGGGTAAAAATGATTATATTTGAATCCCTCTTTGTATTTCTGAATGTTTTTTTGTGTGTTGATGATCTTAAAACTATTTTTTTGAACAGGCATTGGGAGTTTTCGGACTCGTGCAACTGCACGCGTTGGTGGACTACGTGAAAACGAAGATGTCCACTGAAGACTTCAATGTAGTGTTCCAATCTGTGATCAGCACTGCTGTCGTGCTTCTTCTCGGCGTCGCGGCTGTTCTCACGTTCAGCGGTGAGTTAGTTGAACGATTAAAATCCTGTTTTAATGGAAATTGGGAATTCATGTTTGGGTGTTTCCTGTAGGGAAAATTGCGCCGTGGACGGGACGGTTTTACTCCCTGTTGGATCCGTCGTACGCCAAGAACAATATTCCAATCATTGCTAGTGTTTCTGAGCATCAACCGACTGCCTGGTCCTCGTTTTACTTTGACCTCCAGCTGCTTGTGTTCCTGTTCCCGGCTGGGTTGTATTTCTGCTTTGCGAACCTCTCGGATGCCAACATCTTCATCATTTTGTATGGCATGACGTCGGTTTATTTTGCAGTGAGTGTTATTCTTTTGGTCTTTATCACGCATGAAAGAATTTTTGCGGGCGACGTACCATTCGAACTCTGTTCAAGCTTTGTTTCCCTCCCCTCAAAGAACATGACTGATGGAACCCTGATTTTTTTAGTTTTTTAATGATTCATGTGTTAGGTGCTCTCCTCGTCTGCAACTTTGACAATTTTCAGTACAGTATTTTTTATTTTTTTCATCTTCATTTTGCCAGAATTGGTGTACCAACATGTGTTTCTGAAGAAGAACACTTACCGTGTCTACTCAAGTACCACGCGCCCGCATCTGGATTTTTTTATCCTAAAATTTTTGTAAAATTCTATCCGCAAGTAAGAAGTGCACCCTACTTTTGGTGGCTGAAAAAAACTATAATATCTTATTTACTCAAGTACCAAACGCATCTGGATTATTTTTGCCTAAAATTTTTATAAAATGCTATGCTATCCCCAAGTAAGAAGTGCACCCTATTATTAGTTACTGAAAAAACTACAATATCTTATTTACTTGAGTACCACACACACATTTTTTCCTCAAAATTTAGAGGGAGAAAAATGGGTGCGCATCCTAGGTGATGTAAATTTTTCAGGGAGTTTTATATGTTTATGTATGCATAATTCTAATGGGAATTTTGGCCCAATTTTTAAAGAAAAATAGAATTTTATGGAAACAATCGGTTGAATTCAGGTTCAATCCTTGTCTAAAATTATGTTTGGGTGTTTTTATTTTTGAAGTAAAGTACAGTATTGCAGTTTTTAGAGTCACTAAAATAGGGCGTGTGTCTCTCTTGGGGTTGCAATTTCATCAACATTTTAGACTGATAAGCCATTGTGCACGTCTTACCCGAGGAAGCATTGAACCCAGGTAAATACAGTATTTTAAAAGTAACACGTACCTTGATATGAATTGGAACATGAGTTGGATCAAAATTTGGTTATTTTCATTTTTTCTTTAAACAAATTTCAGTTAAATTTGGCTCTAAATCTATTCGAATCAAGTCTGATGTTATGCACCTCAACTTTAAAAAAAATCTTGAAATTGTATACAGTAACCAACCTTCCAGCCCAAAATCTTGATGAAATCCTATCCCCAAGTAAGAAGCGCACCCAATTTTCAATGACTGAAAAACTGCAATGTTTCAAAAAGAAGACACACCAAGACTTGAATTTGGATATGAATCAAATCTGAATTCAGTCAAGTTTCAAGTTTTCCGCTGCCTCCATTGAAAAAAGATCCTGTTGAAACTGGTTCTAAATTTCCCATTACAATTATGTTGTGCTCGGAAACTTCCAAAAAACTTTGGAAAAGGCATACTGGTCTAAAATTCACACCCTCCTTTTTGCCTCCTAGTTCTGAGAAAGAAGGTATGCATGGTACTTTACTCAAGTAAATATGGTACAATCAATTTTATTCTGATGCAAGTATTGCCGGATTTTCCGACTTGACCATAAATTGTCAAATACTGTATCGCAAAACATTTTGTCAACACAGATGAAACATTCCTATTAAAGTGGGGGTTATAAAGTTTCATTTACAGTATTGTGTTTCTTTTTGCGTTTTTTTTCAGGGTGTGATGGTGCGTTTGATGCTGGTTCTTGCCCCTGTGATGTGCATCCTGTCTGGGATCGGCGCCTCGACCCTGCTCAGCAAATACATGAAGGGCCTGGAAGCGAGTAGTCCGCCTAGTGCTGGAGCCAGCGAGAAGAAGGCGAAAAAGAGTGACCCGCAGTCGTTTCTGAGGCACGAGATTTCCTTGGCATTTGTGGCCATGATGACGTTCATGTTTGTCACCTACGCCCTGCATTGTACTTGGGTGACGAGCGAAGCCTACTCGTCGCCGTCCATTGTGCTCTCTGCGCGGGGCCACGACGGATCGAGGATCATTTTTGACGACTTTAGGGAAGCTTATAACTGGCTGAAGCATAACACTCCGGAGGTTGGTTGGCTTTTCTGCGTGGGCTCCGCAAAAATAGGCCACGGCCGGGGATTGGGGACAAAGTACTATAGTTGAAGGAACCCAAGACAAAAAGTGTTGGGAATATATCCTCAACAAATGAAGATTTTAAATTTGATTAGTTTTTAGGAAATGTAACACCAGAATGTGGTTGGGCTACAACCGGGGTGAAAATCACCCTATTTTAAAGTTGGTGTAATTCAAAGTTTCAAACACAGAGTCAATCCACACAATATTCATGAACACACAGGAGTTTCTTGTATGAGAGCTCAGAGAAGAGTGAGTATTTTGATGAATTTTAGAAACCAGGAAAACTGTCCTCCAAGGATAAATTACAGAACCAGGATTTGGCATTAAAAAACAGCCTTGGAGACTTCCAGAAAGAGTGTGTGTGAACCAAGGTCTTTCTAGGTTCACACAGAGATGAACAAGGACAAATCTTTCCCAAGAATTTGGACTCCCAATTTTATCATTCAGCATAACTCTAGCATTACTTGCAACAAAAAGGTCCCCGGGGGTTAGGCAGGGAAACGGGATTACTGGGTGAGGGAGCAGTGGTCAGTTTCATTTGATTTGTGTTTAAACAGTTGACATTTACAGCAGGTTAAATCACCATTTTAGCCGGATGAATGCTAATTCTAAGGAAGATTATTTATTTTTCATTTTCAGAGTTTTTAAAAATAGCACGGTTGCAGGAATACAGTATTCTCACCAATATTTCCAATGAATGCAATATGTATGAGCCATATTTCCAAGAAATAGAATATGTCTAAAAATTTTAGGTCTTTTTGGTCCATGTGTGTCTAAATCTGTTCGCTCACTGACCATCACTCCGCGCCTGTTGACCCAGCTTTTCCCTTGGGGAATTTTTGTTGCGGGTCCCTTTTTTCTACCCAGTCTCTGGAACCTCGTTTCCCTTTTTATTTGGGTACTTTTCCCTATTTGTTGGGAGCGCCTTTGGCATCCCGAGTCAATATTTTCCATCTGTCAGTTCCTCCTCATAAGCTCATCCAATTTATTTTTTTGGAAGTGATTTTGCTTCCTGTGTGGTTAAAAGCTTTGTTTCAATGGGTCGTGTGGTAAAATTGTAAATCACTACCGAAACGTGAAGAAAGATTGTTCGTGAGAAATTCATTGAATTGCAAACGCCTACCGAAGTTTCTGACAAGGGGATTCCTGCTCTGCTGGACCCATAGTAGCTCAACTATTTCATTTAATTATGAAATTGAAGTGATGATCATGAAATTAGTCATGTTGGGTGGGTCAGTGCTGACGAAAAAAAAAATCTCATCAAGACGAGTGTTCAGGATCTAGGAAAGGAAAATAACTATGTTTGCCCCTTTTTTAAAAAGGGAAAATCCGTTCGTGTGATCCAAAGCGAAAAACAAATCAAGTCAAACACTCCTTTCTATTTTTTTAGGACGCGAAGGTGATGTCGTGGTGGGATTACGGCTATCAGATAACCGCAATGGCGAACAGGACCATCATAGTTGATAATAACACGTGGAACAACACACATATTTCGAGGGTTGGACAGGCGATGGCATCTCCGGAGGATAAGGCCTATGAAATCATGCGGGAACTGGACGTGGATTACGTGCTGGTCATTTTCGGCGGGCTTACTGGTTACTCCTCCGACGGTGAGTCTCTTTTATTCTGCGCATTTCAGTGGAATATGTACCGGACCATTTCGGTACTTTCCTGTTATCTCAGTACCTACTTTCCGTGCACCTACCAGAAACTGTGAATTTCATTTTTTGGCATTCTGTTGAAACTGATTTTGGGATTTTTCTTTGTCTCGTGAATTCAGTATTCATTAGGTTAGGTTAGGTCAGGTTATGTTAATTGAAAGATATTTGTAACTATCATAACCTAACCTGACCTAACCTAACCTAACTTCACCTAACCGCCTCCCGAAATCAGTTTCAGCAGAAGCCCAAACAAAGCAGAAACTGATTTTGGGAGGCAGTTAGGTGAAGTTAGGTCAGGTTAGGTTATGTTAGTTACAAATATCTTTCAATTAGCATAACCTGACCTAACCTAACCTAATGAATACTGAATTCATGAGACAAAGAAAAATGGGTACTGATATAACAGGGAAGTACCAAAATTTCATTACAACAAACTTTTTTCGACTTCTGTAAAAATTGGATGTGCTAAATTATTTCTTATAACGACATTTCCAAAAATTAATTACTGAAAAAAATGCTTACGTCTGACAATCAATCAGATCTTTTCTGTTTGAAAAACTGAGTGATCTTTGAGAAAAAATTCGACTAGATCTTGCATTCCATCAGTTGCACAAATCTGTTCGGATGATGTGTGGAACCACTTGGAAGCATGTTTTTTCATTGATCACGGCTTCCATTCATGTTACAAGAACCAGTCAGTCACGTTTGGGGTTGGATGGAAATTTCAGATTGAGCCTGTCTTCAGTCAGGAAATTTCTACCTGGGGAATCTAATGAACATTCCTCAAAAAAGTTTGTTATGCTTCAAGTGGGACTTTTGTTTCAATGAGCTTGTTTTCACATGTACCGTATGGGCTTTCTGTCGGGACTTGAGAAAGTTTTATTGTATACAACACTGAAAAATTTGTTGTGCGATTTTAAGGTATATGAGTATTTTTTGTTGAAATTGCAGATATAAATAAGTTCCTTTGGATGGTGAGGATCGGCGGAAGCACTGAGACTGGCAAGCACATAAAGGAGGCCGACTTTTACACGCCTCAGGGCGAGTTTCGAGTCGACAAGGAAGGATCGCCGACGTTGCTCAACTGTCTCATGTACAAAATGTGTTATTACCGCTTTGGGTCTCTCTACACCGAAGGAGGTGAGCTCTTTTTTTGTGGAAAATTTTCCTTTCTGATTTTTTTTGTATTTATTCGAGTAATACGCGCCTTGGATTTTTTTGAGCTAGGAATCCGTAAAAAAATGTTGTCCCCCCTTAAAAGACGCGCACCTTAGTTTTCACTCCTTTTCAGTCACCGAAATTCCTATTTAAAACTCTGTTTTGTTCAAAACTCTATTTTGATGCCCACTTAGAACGAATTCAATGGCGATCCAGGTCCAGGTCGTCTTTCTACAACGAAATTCGGAGGACCAAAAAGCACGTGGGGAGAATTTCGTTGTAGAAAACCTCTGTAATATGGCTAGACTGCAATCGACGAAAAAAGCAATATGCAGAGAAAACCGTTGTGGAGAGTTTCTACCCGGATTTTTGGTTTATACAAATGATGATAATTCGGTATTGAAATAGAGAAGTAAAAAGAAAACTTCTATGTGGGAAAAAGTTTCAAATTTTCAAAGAATGTCGCTTGGAAATTTGTTCCCGACAATGAATTGAACCAAGAAAGTCATTATGCAGAGAAAATCGTTGCAGGGACAGAGAACCTATTTTTTGTGTCATACAAATGATAGTGATACAGTACTGTATTAAAATCCTGTAGAGAAGTCGGAAAAACAATTTTGAAGTGGGGAGAGAAGTTTCCAATTCTCAAAAATTGTCGCTTAAAAATTCATACCCAATAATGACGTGCACCACGTTTTTTTCTCAAATTTTGTTGGAAAAAATGTACGCGTGGTCCTGGAGTAAAAACGGTATTCTGGGTTTTCGAAGCTCGCATCATCTAACATCAAGATATGCGTAATAAAATGAGGATTACCGTATCATCCTCTCGTTGGCGATTAGAATGTACAGAAATGTTATCTTTGAAGTGGGGCATCCCTTACACTGCTTACAGACACGTGCTCGCATAGGTGTTCTTGTGTGAGACAAGGCATTGATAGCTTTGAAAGATGGATTCTTGTTATAATCGTTGAAGCGACATCTGACTGAAAGAATATTCACGAATATCACATAGCAACCTGTGAAGCAGAAAAATTTAATTTCTGAATGTACTGTACAGTAATTCTTTTTGGCGCAGGTTGCGCAGAAATTCAATCCCATAGCACCTACGCTAGTCTCAAGTTTGAGATTTCAGTTTTCTTGAAATTCAGTGCGTGACCTTTGTTAGTACTGTATATTGTCAAGCAGGTGTCGCCTGAAGTGACAACAGCTAATTTACTTGGGGAAAATCCCAGCAAGTCAAGCTTAACCCAAAATAAGTGTATCTTACTCAACCACATTTATAATTCACATCATGGTAAATTGAAAAAAATATTTATCTTTTCAGTTTAAATAATTGTCTTGAAGAAATCGTAGTTGTTTGACATAATTTCCACTACTATCGTGAGAGATATATTAGATTCTCTGTTACAATTTGTAGTAAAGTTCGAACAGATTAAAAGGAATTGGCTGTAATGTCTTTTTTCGTTTCAAAGCTGCAGAAGAGTTTATTTTGCGTTTTTTTCATTGTCGAATAAACTTTCGATTCGACAGGAAAACCTCCTGGATGGGACCGAGTTCGTGGCGCGGAAATTGGCAACAAAGACTTCGAACTCGACGTGCTCGAAGAAGCCTATACCACGGAACACTGGATTGTGCGAATCTTCAAAGTCAAGGACTTACCCAACCGGGGCGCTTGAGTTCCGCCGGAATGAATAAATTTTAAAAAATTTTAAAGCCGTGGGGAAGCAAAGAAGATAAGAAAAAAACCAGGTTCAGAAATGTTTGAATAAATATTGAAATGAGGGGAAAGATGATATATATTTTGTCTCTTAATGCTCAGGATCTCCTCACGGCTTTTTTTTTCTCTTTTCTGGTTTTGAATCTGTGTCCTTTGTGTATTTTGCTTTGTGGATGCGAGTTTGTTGCAGTGCGGTGACATGCACTCCAAGGCATTGGTTTTACTTGTTTTTTTTGGTTGACATTCCTAGGTCTGTTCACTTATTATATTGTTGGTGCGTTCGTTGTGTCCCGGCGGGAGAGGAGAGAGAGCGATGAACAAGCGGGATGGAGAGAAACTTTCTCGTATGTTTTTCTTCTTTCGAATTCGACGTCTTAAACTGTTGCTCACTGTGGTTGAAGGAATTGGCACGATTCGTTGCAGGTGGTGTTTTTTTTTTATAAATACGTTTCATGTGATTAGCTGTGAGTCATGGGATCATATGCGAAACATGTGAATCTTCCAGGTGAGTCGAGTTGAGAAATGGTGGAAAATTGATCTATGTTTGGGGGCGTTTGATGAAGGTTTGTTATTTTTTTTGCAGATTTAATGGAGATTTTCTCTCGTGTCTTCGATCATCGGCCGTTTTTGAAAGGAGAGATCAACTACTTTCTGCAGGAATTCGAGGTGCGGGAGTTTCTGATAGAACTTGGCGGGAGATATTGAAAAAACTGGTTTTTTTTGTCGGTCTGATACAGTTTTTATATTCAACGCTTTTTGAGTTTCATGCGGATAACGACCACGTTTCTCAGTTTTTTTTTTAAATAAAGGCGGATGAAAAGTGAATTTTTGAATTTTTAGGAGGCCCGTGGGGATCGAGAAGTGGAAAAAATTTTCTCAGTCGTGGAGAGAGCGACGGAGATTCATCAGGAGCAGGTTCAAAAGGCCTACGAATTGTGCGAGAAGAAGATTCCTAGTTTGGCTGGTCGTCTCGACGTTGGCCTTCTCATGTGTTCGCAAATTGCGGAACGCGAAACACGGATGCAAGCAGTAAGTGTTCCTTATAATGATCCTCAGTGTTCTCATTTTCAGAATTTGTTACCCGAAGTGGACCGAATTTTTTTCTATTTTCTGTGAATTTCAAATATTTCAAGTTATTTTTCACTTACTCGCCACATTGTGCCTTTCGGAAAATCAGACAGGTGATGTCTGAATCACTAGAAAAAAAAATGACCTGTGAAATGTAGCCTAACGTAATCCTGACTAAGAAATCGCAACGATTTAACCAAATTTAGACCTGATAGATCATGGCGACATCTATAAATCATTTATGAAAAATTTAGTGATATTGTTTTGAATGCTCTTGAAACTGTCACGCAGATGTCGCCTGATGCGACTAAAATTAACCCAGCCTAACCTGAACTGAGCTGACCTTCATAACAATGAACACGTCCTGGTATGACGTGAGGGTAACAAGCCCTGAGGGAACTGAGACAAAGCGATACCTTACGGAAGTCAGGCGACGTGCATGTGACAACAAAGAAAACTTCAGTGGCAGACATAGAATGGAAAAGAACCGACTGGGCAATACAGTTAGGAAAAAATGTAGCTAAATAATGTTGGGTGTTCCTGTTGTAATCCTGTCTAATTCGTCGCCAACTTTCTAGGACGTAATCCTCGAAAACAACCGCGAAGCCAGGAGACAAGAGTGGGAAATGTTCTTGACGGATTTGACGGAAAAATGCAAAGCCGTCGACGATTCTTTCGCTGAACGTGAAGAAGAACTTCGGAAGCATTACGCGAACCTGAATGCGGAAATTGGTGCTGCCCAGAAACCTCAGTAATTTACCGTAAACGGTTTGAAACATAATGTGCCAAAATACTTGCCATTCCCGTTGTGGAGGGAGGAAAAATAATTTGCGCAAACATTTTCGTGATGCTGGGGATTCTTCGCACGAATGACGCAAGTTTTTTCATGAGGCTTTTTTTTGTGGTTTCGGTTGTTTTGGAAGTTTTGATTTTTCATAAAGTTTAAAGCCATAGAGACAAATTTCAATTCGCTTCTGTTCTCAAATTGAATCCAAAAAATTTTTAAATGCTCGGTTATTTCTGGCGAAAATGTGGAATTTGTTCTTTGGTAGAACTCCGTAAATGAATTCGCGTTTTCTTGCGTGGGTTGTAACGAGGAGTTTAGTCGGCTTCTCTCGTCAGTTGTCGCAGTATAGACCCAGAATGGGAAAAATTCCTGTGGCAGTTACTCAATTTTGCGCCAAAGCTGACAAGGCCTTGAATCTCGAGATTTGTTCTAGTCTGGTGCGACAGGCTGCTGCGAAAAACGCGAAGGTGTGTCTTTCAATATCCAAGTCATTCGCTGTACTGTATTCACTTTCTTGCTTCTTAACTTGGATTTTTCGAAAATAGTTGTGCCCTGATAAACTTTTAATCATGTGAGAACTTGTTACGCATTTTTCATTCAAGATTCTGGGAATATTCGTGTGAAAACACAGATGGAATCTCTCTACTAGGAAATTCAGGGGACCAGAAAAATTTCATTGTAAGGAATCCTTATGAGATGGGAACCCGTATAGTTGGGTCCAAAAGAAAATTCTTCATGGAGAGAAAATTGTTGTAGTGGCAGTCTAAATAATAATTATTTTATCGATTTCAGGCGGTATTTTTACCGGAAGGCTTTGATTACATCGAAGTATCCAAAGAAGAATCGATAAAGAAATCGGAACGTCTGGACGGAAACACGATAACTGCCTACCGGAAACTTGCCAAAGAATCGAACGTGTGGTTATTTCTCGGCGGCTTTCACCAAAGTGCGCCTGACGTGAGTTTTGCGTCCTTGAAATTGATACTTTTCCTGTTACACCCCCTTGTCTTTGATACCAGCGAGGTTTTCTGAAATTTCAAACAGGTGTCGCCTCAGTCTCACAACGGAAATTTATTCCAATAAAAGTTAACATTTCGGCGACACCTGTGTGTAGATTGAGTAGAATTCCCGACTCGGGACATCCTGACGCTTGACGGAAAGGAATCTTATATTTTTGTGACTCTCTTCATCCCGGCAGGGAAAAATTTTCAACGTGCATGTGGTGATCGACTCTGAGGGCGAATTGAGAGCAACTTATCGCAAAATCCACTTGTTCGACGTTGATATCCCAGAGAAGAACGTCCGGTTACTGGAGTCTAGTTACACTGTACCCGGAAAAGAACTGGTTCCCCCTGTGACGCTTTCTGACGCCCAAATCGGGCTCGCAATCGTGAGAAAAATTGTTTGCTCATTATTTGTTCATGAATTCAATTTAACGGAGTATTTTTTTTTCTTGATTTTGGGCAGTGCTATGATTTACGATTTCCTGAGATGAGTGCGAAACTGCGGATGATGGGTGCGGATGTGCTAACGTTTCCGTCTGCATTCACTGTGGAAACCGGAAAGGCGCATTGGGAAACTTTGCTGAGAAGTCGCGCGATTGAGAACCAGTGTTACGTCATTGCCAGTGCCCAAGTGGGAAAGCATAATGCGAAACGAGCTTCGTATGGACACTCGATGGTGTGTTTTTTTTTTTTTTTTTTTTTTTTTAATACGCAAAATTCTCTTTTTGTTTCAGCCCACTTTCTTTCCCACTGGATGGTGTGTTTTTTTTTTTTTTTTTTTTTTTTTTTTAAATACGCAAAACTCTCTTCTGGTTCCAGCACACGTACTTCACCTCATTTTTCCTTCGAAGCTGTGCTTTTTCGCTTTTTTTTTTTTTAATGTACCTGTTCCACTTACAACTCTTGACCATTTACCACTGGTTTGTAAGTGTGGTGCAAAGTTAATTCAGCACGTAGGTTTTGTGTGTCTCTTGATCTTCATTTTTGCAGGAAAAGAAAATGAAGTTTAGGATGATAAAGTTTTTAGTTGTTCAGAAGAATTTGGAAACGCGGAAAGATTGAATTGCCTATTACAATCCACACGTGCTTATTTTATTTTATAGCCAAACTTCGACGGACCAGCAAAAAATTTCGAGTTGGGATGTTTCGATTGAGGAAAACAAGCAGTTCAGTTGTGGAAATTAAAGAATAATTGCGGGATATTGTAATTAGTGCCGTTCTGGGCCATTTCTTTGCTTTTTGATTCAGCTGACAGAATGCTGAAAAAAGAAGGCAAGGGCTTATTTGCCGAATTAGTCTTTCCGTTACTCTATAAGCTGATCAAGTTACATTTTTATTCCCCGTGTCAGTAAAATAATAGCCGAAAGGACTCAAGAAAATTCGACTTATGAAGGTTTAGGGAAAAAGCGTTCGAGTTTGAGAGTTTTTTAATACATTTTTTTAGGGAATTCGGACAGGGATTCAAACAAAAGTTCGACGTTTGGAGGTATTCAACTTGAGAAGTTTTGAGTTATTGAGGTTCAAATGTATTACTATAATTTTTTGAAACGCTGATTGAATATCTACCTTGGAAGTGTGTAAGTCGTCGACTCTGTTGAAGAAGAAGGTCCTCCTTTTTCCAGGTGGTTGATCCATGGGGTCGAGTTTTGGTTGATCTCGGGGACGCGACGGAAGAGCCTCAATTTGAAATTGTCGAACTGGACCTTGGGCTTGTCGATTCAGTTCGCAGATCCATGCCTGTGCTCCAGCATAGAGTCGGTGCTCTGTACAATGTGACTGAACGCGAATATAAACTGCCGAAAAGTGACTCGGAAAGTTTTACTTTCGGACAAGTCACTATCCCGGGCTCTAACGTGTTTCTTCTCTCGGAGTCTTCATACGCCTTCGTCAACAAGAAATGTGTTCGTCCTGGACGTGAGTCGATTGATGGGATTATCTTCATAACAACATGATTTTTTTTTTTAATTCACACTAGTGTTGCGTAAGCATTTATGAGGGTTTCAGGTGTCTTATATTTTTCAAAGATTTCATTTAAGGTGTCGTCGTTGACGGACTTGATCTATTTCAGTGGGGAATTAACCTATAGAATCGTCTATTAACAGGTTAATGTCAGCCTATGTAGAATTTATTGATGGTTTCACGCCCACCCAAACTTCATCGACTGAGTGTTGTAAAGAATTTTTGAAATGAGGAAATTTGCTCTGGATCCCGTTAAAATATCCTTGAATTCTTTATCAAGATTCCTTTTCGGGTTATGCTCGGCTAGTTCATGTTTAATTGGGTGAAATGTGCTGGAATTCTAAAAAGAAAAGATACGAGCGTTTAAGGGAAAAGATCTGACTGATAGCGTACTTTCTGATGGCACAGAAACTTTTTTGAATTTTGAACATTTTATTTCGATATCGTGTTTATGGAATTGGGTTTTTTTCGACAGATGTTCTTGTGGCCCCGTTGAAATCAGCCAAGAGATTCGAAGACCTGAGTGATGACGAAATTGCGGACCTGTTTTCTCTCGTGAAACGTGTTCAGAGCGTGATGGAAGAAATCCACTCTGCGAAAAGTTCAACAGTGACTGTTCAAGATGGCCCTGATGCTGGACAAACGATTCAAGTGAGTATTTTAGTGAATAGGTGCCAGCAATCTGAAAAAAAAATTGAATTTTAAGTAAAAATTCTATTCGAAAAAGTGAGGGATTTCCTTTTTTCGAAGAATGTCAAAATAATAATTTTTTTTTTATGAATAAAATTCCAGGTTCAAATTAACTCCGTAGAGGTTTTTTTTTCAATTACAGTACTTCAAAGTCGCGTTCGTATTACAAATCGAAGTGAACTAAATGATAAAAAATGATTGTGATCCCTCAGATTTTATTTATTTTCTTGAATTTCGCGAATAAATAAAAGAAAATTTATACTTATTTTCACTGTTTCGTCCGCATTCCTATGATTTTTCGTTGCCATCACAATGAAGTGTGGCTGTCGCTTGAGTTTATATAGAAATATAATTTCGAAATTACAGAAAATTTGAAATATGTACTAGGGGTGTTGCGGCGTTCTTTCCCCCGCTTTTTACAGAAATTTCGTGATTGCACGAAATAATATTCGCTGAAACCTCGAATAATTTTCCTTGGGCTTTTCCAGCATTTCCACGTTCACGTGATTCCTCGAACTCCGACGGACTTCCCGGTAAATGACAATATTTACAAAGAGCTCGCGGAACATGACAAAAAGCCGAATGTGGAATGGCGAGAATTGGCGGATATGGAAGCGGAGTGCGCTTCGATTCGGGAACGGATGTCTCGTTATATCTCCTCGAAGAATAAGCAGTGATGTGTGATTGGTTCAGAAACGACAAACCCGTGACTAACTTCCGGGGGTTAGTGTTACTTGTGTCGCGATTGTTTTATTTGAACGATGCTCGTGTTGGTTTTTATTTTAGGAAATTGATATTTTTTTCTTGCGTCAGGATTTCAGTAAACCTGTGATTCTATTCTTGTTTTAAAAGCATTGTAACAATTCTCGAATGGTATTTCAAAGCCAATTCGTGTGTGTTCTTTTGCAGATTTTATCTGAAAGGTGATAATTACATCGGCGCTTTCAAAATGCCGAATACGATGAATATGAGTCTCGGTGAGTGTTGACAAAGATTTCATTCATGAAGGTGTCGTTGTTAACGGACTTGATCTATTTCGGTGGGGAATTAACCTATCGAATCGTCTATGAACAGGTTAATGTGAGCCTGTGTAGAATTTATTAATGGTTCCACGCCCACCCAAACTTCATCGACTGAGTGTTGTAAAGAATTTTTGAAATGAGGAAATTTGTTTTGGATCCCGTTAAAATCTCCTTGAATTCTTTATCAAATGCTGAATGTTTAACGTGATGAAATATCCAAAAAATGTCCTCCAAAATATTCAGAAGCACTATCAGGAGCATTCAAGAAACGTTGATCCCTTTGTTAACGAATGATTATTTCTTTGAAGGGTTCTTTTGCTCTTTTTTCATGCCCTTTATCACTCAAGTAGAAGAAAAATCACTCTTGAATGGAAAATATATTGTGTGAGGTGTGTATTATCTGAGATATCTCTGCATGATGTCGTACATTTTTACTTTCATGAAATTTCGAGGGAATCTCATTACAACTAATCTTATTATAACAAATTTATTTTTAGGTTCCTGCCCAAAAGTCACACCTTTGATGAAGTTTCTTCACGACAAATTTTTCCTTTCAACGAAGCTATCTCACTGGTTCCAGCGGCTTTATTGCGAGGAGATTTTCCTGTGTATGGTATATGGACAGTATACTTATTTTTTCAGACGAAATCATCGCGGCTGCTAGGTCAAATGCCAGAGGCCAGCAGCGAGGACGTGGTGGGATCACCCGAGAACGTGGTGGGATGACCCGAGGACGAGGTGGGATGACCCGAGGACGAGGTGGGATGACCCGAGGACGTGGTGGAATGACCCGTGGAAGAAGTGGAATGTTACGAGGCAGAGGGTCCGTTAAACGTCTTCAGGGAAATGTGCCGAAACCAGTCGAAACAAATGGATACTATAGATCTGATGTCCGCAGAGGACGTGGCAGAGGTCGAGTGCGTAAAAATCCCCGTCATTCATTTTTTTTTGCACCGGTCAAGGTTTTTCTGTTCGTTTTTGAATTGAAAAATAATTTTAGAATTCAATTGAGTAACGTAACGAAAATAATTCGTTCCTGAATGCGTTTCGTTATGCGGAATGTTCGTACAGGTGGACTCTCTCTCTACGACGATCTTGTCTGCAATGATGTTTTTTTTCTGTAAAATGCAATTTTTTTTTGTCTCCATGGGCTGGTCTCTTCCCATGTTACGAACTCCGCAACGAAATTTTCTCGACAACGACTAAAGTAATGCGACACGCATTTTCCCATGGGAATCCATTATACATTATTCAATTTATAGTCTGGACACTCACGAAGAGACCACGAAAAGCCTTTTTTTTACCCAAAACTTGCTAAAATTTGAACGTTTTTTTTTGCCTCCGAAGTTTTGTGATGCGAGTCAGTTTTTTTTTTTTTTGATATAAAATTTTCTGATGCGAATTGTTCATCGCCTGCGTCTTTTGTCATGCGGGGCTTCACTGCACTGAAGTTGTAACGTTTGTTGTCATTTCTATTGAATACCTGTACAGTATGATCTCGTTATGACGAATTAATGCTTAAGATTTTTTTTAGCGTCTGATAATTTTATTCGAACGAATTTTTTTTTGCAAAAAAACTTCTTTTTAGGGTCCCAAATGCTTTGTTGTAACGAGATTCTGCTGTGTTTTTGTCCGGTCTGTGTTTTAGTGAATATTCCACCTCTTTGTAATCCTTTGTTGTAAAGAACAATTTGTCATGCAGGAACTCATTTAACATTGTGGCTATCGGGCAGGGACCTAAAATACGACTTTATTGTTAGGGATTTTTCGTTGAAATGAGATTCGTTTTAACGGAAATTTTACTGTATCATTTTTTTTCCTAATCCCCACAGGCACAAGGATCGAGCAGAGGCCGAAGACCGCAGCTCGGAGAGAGCTTCAATGGTGAATCCCTCGAGTTTCGCTCACGTCGTGGGATCCAGTCTCCCAAACGAGGATTGAATCGTCGATCCTTGTCAACCCTGTCGCACAAACAAGTGTCTGATCTCCAAGAAGCCCTTGCCACTACCAGAGCAGTATCAGTTGCCGCCCACAGGTTGGCGGTGTCATCTGTGCGAAAAGCGCGGCGGTTATTGCAGCAAAGAACCCAGCAGATGAATGGAGACACGTTGAGAGCTGTTGCGAATCCAGGGCGACGTGTTCAGCCGGCCTTGGCTGGGAATGTTGTGGTACGATTTTTGGTCTATGTTTTGATTGTTGTGGTGTGTAGGAATAATGCATTCGTGGGTTTTGGGAAACGAAATCTAGTTTTGGTAGAGTAATCTGAAGCGCTTGCGTGGAACTGCAGTCGTTTTGTTCCAATGACAAAGATGGATTTTTGGGGTCTCGAGGATTTACTTGCTTTGGATTAACTTGCGAAACCTGTTGAAAGCAGAAGGGAGACATTTCAAGTCTTGCCCGTTAGTTGTGTTGCCTGTGTGTTCATTTGTTGCTGAAAATCAAAAATTTTCAAATCTCTTTTGTGTGTGGATACATTTTCTCTATCTGATATTTTGTCTTCCCTGCTTTTTTTTTACCGTCGGAAGGAGCAGTTGGAATGTGCTTTTTGTGTATGGCAGCTTCCTCAAGTGAATATTTTCCTTATCCCTTACTTCCTGCTGCATATCTAACTTATATTCTTAAAATTTTCATCACTTGTACGATTATTTCGTAGGACAAGGAGAATTGGCGCAACACATTTCCTCTTCATTTCTTGTTGTTGCTTCGATGTACTTTTATTTGCGAGGCTTTCCTTCGGTGATCTTGACGATTTTTCCTTGGAAAATTGATTCCCGAGTACCGCGCGTACCCTATTTTTCCGCCTAAATCCCTTTTAAAATAAATGTGGGCCTGGTACTCGAGTAAATACGGTACTTCGGAATAAGGTTCGAGCCATGGGGTGCATAAATTTATTTTTTTTATTTTTTTGAGGTTGAAATGCTCGTCACATTTGAAGTTACGAAAGACTATGTTTTTCAAATTCATTCCTACGCAGGTTTCCGTTCGCGGAGAAGACCCCGTGTTACCAGTGCGGAACAAACCCGTCATCATCAGATCCCGTGCTCGTACATCACAACCCGAACCAATAACAATGATCGTGGAGAACGACACCCTAGTCGGCGGCCCAGTGTCGAGGCAGTCGTTGTCGTCGTCCTCCCGTGTCGCCAGTCTCGAGGCGCCTGGTCTCAGGCGCCACTGCGCCGACTTGAACTCCGTCATTCAAGAACACATTGCGACGATTTCGCGATCCAGGAGTTCGCGAAACAATGGACCGAAAACCGAGGTTTCGAATACGCTCGTCCGACAGCACGCAGCGGGCACTTCAAGAAGGCTTTCGGATTTGTTCGCTTCGTATTAAATGGGTATTGGGTGTGCGTGTGGAAATTTTCTTTTCGTCGGGATACGACAACGACGACGGTTTGCTGTGTTCGAAAAATCGATGCGAATGTTTTTTTTTCCTTTCTGGGGGAGGGCGGGTAATTTTGTACGCGTGGATTTCTTGATCCGCGTTGAAGTTGACCACGAAAGAAGTCGGATCATCTCCTTGGAACGTTTGTATAAAAGAAAAATTTATGAACCCGTGGCTCGTTTCGGAAAGGCACCGATTGGAGTGCGAAGGGGGCTTTTTTCCCGTTGACCTGTTTCGTGTTAGAAGGTTCGTAACCCGATGTGCTGCTCTTCCGGTGCCGAGATTTTTCTTTTGTCTCCGTCAACGGGAAACAGTAAATGTTTTTTTGTTGGGCTAAATTTGACGTTTCGTTACTTGAGAATGAGACTGGGGGGGTTCTTGCGCTTGGCTGGACCCACAAGAAACGTGAATATTCCAGTTAGTCCTGATCTGGAAATTACTGTGTAAAATTTGTGTCCAATGAAGACGAGACCGTGTGAAGGAAGGGGATACAATCCTGGCATTATCTTGACAACTGCTGGTTGTTCGGGTTTAAATTTGAAGTACTGTATTTCTAGAAAAAATGTTCGTTTCCAATGTTTTTTGTTTCTTTCCTGTCTGTTGAATTACGCCAAGTATTTACTTGAATACCACGCGCAACTTTTTCCTTTGGAGAAAAAAAATAGAGGGTGAGAGTTTTGAGTGGGTATACAATTTTCAAAATATTTTAAAAGTTCAGGTGTGCAAACATACTTAATTCTAATGAGAAGTTTTGAACCAATTTTGAAAAATTTTTTCATAGAAAAAACTTGAAATTGATTTGATTCTTGTCTAAAGACAATTTCTACTGTGACTTATTTTTGAAATACAGTTGGACTTTCTCTACAATTAAATTCAAGGAACAAGAACAAAAAATTGCTGTAGAAAGAATTTATTCGTTGAAAACCCCTGTAACGTGGAGAGAAAACCTAATGGGACCAAAAAAAAGATTCGTTATACAGAGAAAATCGTTTTAGAGAGTCGACCTGTTTTAAAGCTTTTCAGTCACTAAAAATGATGGGAGTGCATGTCTTGGTTGAAGGATGGGCTTTTATGAAAATTTTTTGGCTGAAAAATCTGAAATAGCGTCTTCCTTGAGCGTATGTGGTACTCAAGTAATTATGATGCTGAATTGATCACTTTGGGATGTGCCTCAAGATGGCCAGAAGTTGATCTTTCCTTCCAGGAAAAAAAGTGTTGTTGGGATGCTGTAATAATTTTGGTTTCCTTCTTTCACACTCTCCCATGTTTCTTTTGACACAAATCTTGGTGTTTCTGAAAGTTCGAAACTCTCTGGTATATTCACGATTTCGCAGCCTCATTACCTTGTTAATGACGCTTTATAATGATTATGTCTGGTTCCAGGTTAAATTGAGGAGGTGAAAGAAAACGAAAAAATGGTGTACCTTAGTTCGTTTCTTCGCGCGGCTGCAACGGCTGGGGCGAAGACCACGACGAATTTGACGGGTTTGAAGATAGCCAAGAATCCTCATCATCATCTGACTGGGATGTATACCAAGACAGCGGTTATTGCAGCAAAGAACCCAGCAGATGAATGGAGACACGTTGAGAGCTGTTGCGAATCCAGGGCGACGTGTTCAGCCGGCCTTGGCTGGGAATGTTGTGGTACGATTTTTGGTCTATGTTTTGATTGTTGTGGTGTGTAGGAATAATGCATTCGTGGCGTTTTGGGAAACGAAATCTAGTTTTGGTAGAGAATCTGAAGCGCTTGCGTGGAACTTCAGTCGTTTTGTTCCAACGACAAAGATGGATTTTTGGGGTCTCGAGGTTTTACTTGCGAAACCTGTTGAAAGCAGAAGGGAGACATTTTAAGTCTTGCCCGTTAGTTGTGTTGCCTGTGTGTTTCTTTGTTGCTGAAAATCAAAAATTTTCAAATCTCTTTTGTGTGTGGATACATTTTCTCTATCTTATATTTTGTCTTCCCTGCTTTTTTATTTTACCGTCTGCAGGAGCAGTTGAAATGTGCTTTTTGTATATGGCAGCTTCCTCAAGTGAATATTTTCCTCATCCCTTACTTACTGCTGCATCTCTAACTGACATTTCTAAAATTATTATAACTTGAAACGATTATTTCCTAGGACAAGAAGACTTGGCGCCACACATTTCCTCTTCATTTCCTGTTGTTGCTTCGATGTACTTTTATTTGCAAGGCTTTCCTTTGGTGATTTTTCCTTTGAAAATTTATTCCCGAGTACCGCGTGTACCCTATTTTTCCGCATAAATCACTTTAAAAAATGTGGGCCTGGTACTCGAGTAAATACGGTACTTCGGAATAAGGTTCGAGCCATGGGGTGCATACATTTTTATTTTTTTTAGGTTGAAATGCTCGTCATATTTTAAGTTACGAAAGACTATGTTTTTCAAATTCGTTCCTACGCAGGTTTCCGTTCGCGGAGAAGACCCCGTGTTACCAGTGCGGAACAAACCCGTCATCATCAGATCCCGTGCTCGTACATCACAACCCGAACCAATAACAATGATCGTGGAGAACGACACCCTAGTCGGCGGCCCAGTGTCGAGGCAGTCGTTGTCGTCGTCCTCCCGTGTCGCCAGTCTCGAGGCGCCTGGTCTCAGGCGCCACTGCGCCGACTTGAACTCCGTCATTCAAGAACACATTGCGACGATTTCGCGATCCAGGAGTTCGCGAAACAATGGACCGAAAACCGAGGTTTCGAATACGCTCGTCCGACAGCACGCAGCGGGCACTTCAAGAAGGCTTTCGGATTTGTTCGCTTCGTATTAAATGGGTATTGGGTGTGCGTGTGGAAATTTTCTTTTCGTCGGGATACGACAACGACGACGGTTTGCTGTGTTCGAAAAATCGATGCGAATGTTTTTTTTTCCTTTCTGGGGGAGGGCGGGTAATTTTGTACGCGTGGATTTCTTGATCCGCGTTGAAGTTGACCACGAAAGAAGTCGGATCATCTCCTTGGATGCAAACATATTTTCTTTTTAAATACTTGGGCACCGAGCAAAGCCTTTCCGTGGCTAACCTCACGCTTCCCCCGAAAAAAGGGCAACTGGACAAAGCACAATCTTCCAAGCATTGGGCTACACGACGCCTTCCGGTGCCGAGATTTTTCTTTTGTCTCCGTCAACGGGAAACAGTACATTTTTTTTGTTGGGCTAAATTTGACGTTTCGTTACTTGAGAATGAGACTGGGGGGTTTTTGCGCTTGGCTGGACCCACAAGAAACGTGAATATTCCAGGTAGTCCTGATCTGGAAATTACTGTGTAAAATTTGTGTCCAATGAAGACGAGACCGTGTGAAAGAAGGGGATAAAATCGTGGCATTATCTGGACAACTGCAAGTCGTTCTGGTTGAAATTTGAAGTATTTCTGGAAAAATGTTCGTTTCCAATGTTTTTTGTTTCTTTCCTGTCTGTTGAATTACGCCAAGGATTTACTTGAATACCACGCGCAACTTTTTCCTTTGGAGAAAAAAAAAATAGAGGGTGAGAGTTTTGAGTGGGTATACAATTTTCAAAATATTTTAAAAGTTCTGGTGTGCAAACATACTTAATTCTAATGAGAAGTTTTGAACCAATTCTGAAAAAATTTTTCATGGAAAAAATTTGAAATTGATTTGATTCTTGTCTAAAGACAATTTCTACTGTGACTTATTTTTGAAATACAGTTGGACTTTCTCTACAATTAAATTCAAGGAACAAGAACAAAAAATTGCTGTAGAAAGAATTTATTCGTTGAAAACCCCTGTAACGCGGAGAGAAAACCTAATGGGACCAAAAAAAAAGATTCGTTATACAGAGAAAATCGTTTTAGAGAGTCGACCTGTTTTAAAGCTTTTCAGTCACTAAAAATGATGGGAGTGCATGTCTTGGTTGAAGGATGGGCTTTTATAAAAATTTTTTGTCTGAAAAATCTGGAATAGCGTCTTCCTTGAGTGCATGTGGTACTCAAGTAATTATGATGCTGAATTGATCACTTTGGGATGTGCCTCAAGAAGGCCAAAAGTTAATCTTTCCTTCCAGGAAAAAAAGTGTTGTTGGGATGCTGTAATAATTTTGGTTTCCTTCTTTCACACTCTCCCATGTTTCTTTTGACACAAATCTTCGTGTTTCTGAAAATTCGAAACTCTCTGGTATATTCACGATTTCGCAGCCTCATTTACCTTGTTAATGACGCTTTATAATGATTATGTATGGTTCCAGGTTAAATTGAGGAGGTGAAAGAAAACTAGAAATGGTGTACCTTAGTTCGTTTCTTCGCGCGGCTGCAACGGCTGGGGCGAAGACCACGACGAATTTGACGGGTTTGAAGATAGCCAAGAATCCTCATCATCATCTGACTGGGATGTATACCAAGACCCTGCGAGCCTTGGCTAAGATGCCGGAAGATGCTGCTTACAGACAATACACGGAGCAGATCATCTCTGAACGATTGAACGCTGTGAAAGCTGAGCCGGACTTGGCTGCTTTGGAAGCGAAAATCAACTGCGGACAGGTGAATCTTGGTCTTTTTCTGTTTTCATGTAAATAAATGTCCGAGCATGATGAAAAAGTGTTTAAAGAAAAAGCTGGTTTTCCGATTTTTACTTCAAGGGTATTCTATGAAATGAAGACGAAGCCGACAGTTGAAGGCAGTCGAAGTAAATTTTTCATCTTTGTAAAGGAAAAATGTTGGTTTTTGAAGCTTTTTTTTTCGTAAATGAAAATCCGGGGATGAGGAAAAATTGGTTAGAAAGAAGCCAGTTATTCGATTATTGCTCTGAGGGTATTCTTTGAAGTGTTGAACATTAAGCCAGCAGTTGTTGGCAGCCAGAATTACTTTTTTTTTCCTTTTTGTAAGGAAAAATTTTGTTTTTTTCTTCTCGTCTATTTTCATGTCGTGAATAAATAATATTTGGGGATGAGGGAAAATTGGTTAAAAATAGGCCAGTTCTTCGAGTAATACTTTTTGGGTATTCTCTGAAGAGTTGAATGTGGAGCCTGCAGTTGAAGGGAGTTGAAAAATTCCTTTTTGTTTTTTTATTTTTTTGAGTAAAAATTTTCCATTTCCCTCATTTTTTCATATCGTAAATTAAGTTCTGAGGTGAGGAAGAATTAATTAAAAACAGGCAGTTCTCTGAGTTCTCCGTGGAAGGTAATCTCTGAAATGTTGAAGATGAAGCCTGAAGTTGAAGGCAGTCAAAATTCTTTTTTTTCCTTTTTTTTTAATGAAAAATTCCTGGTTTTCCCATTTTTTCTTTTTTTCGTGTCGTAAATTAAAGTCTGGGATGAGGAAAAATTGGTTAGAAAGAAGCCAGTTCTTCGATTATTACTTCGAGGGTATTCTCTAGTGTTGGAACATGAAGTCTGCAGTTGAAGGCAGTCAAAATCACATTTTCGAGAGCGACTTTTTCGATAAAATCCCTTCATGGTTTTTTACATAGACTTGAAATGTATGATAAGACCATCGTACCGTGTAAGTTTTTTTTTTTTTAAGTGAAAACAGAGCATGTGTGATGGAAGTATATTTTCTGGGACAGATTGAAGAGGTGTTGATCCAGGCGGAAAACGAATTGTTCCTCGCTCGGAAGATGTTGGAGTGGAAGCCCTGGGAACCGCTTGTGGAAGAGCCGCCCAAGAACCAGTGGAAGTGGCCCATGTGAATTAGAGTCGTCGAAATCCCGAATAAAAATGGTGCAATCCGTTCGTTCGTTGCTGCTCTTTAGCCACAAGTTGACCTTCTAGTGTTTGTTTCCATAAATAAAAAACGTCGTGCTTCGGTGTTCCGCAATTTTAAATCCTAGCCATGTGAACAGAAGGGCTGTTTTAATCATGGACTTTTTTTAATCTTTTCTCAGAGCTCAATCTACTGTGAATGATGCCAAATTTGCGATGTGTGTGAGACGGGTGTGTAGGTGATCTTGGGGGTCGTTGAGATGGTGAGTGTTCCCGTGTGGGGAGAGTTTTTTCTTGGTTCTGTTTCACGTCAGCGCCCAACGTCTGTAAGAAAGTGATTTTATTATCTGCTATGTAGATGTCGCCTGTGTACAAGGCACGTAAAATTACCCTACGCCAGTGTTCCCCAACCGTTTTGGGCCAGTGGGCTGGCAAATTTCCATAAAAATTTTTGCATACCAGCAAATTTCCTAAAAAATGATTACAGACTGGTAAAGTTTTGTAAAATTTTTGCAGACTTGAAGTAGTTTTGCTGGAAAGACTTTATGGCAGGTATTTAAAAGTTTCTGCATTTTTGCAGAAATTACATTGGGAACCAGTGAAGCAGCTATACAGAGAGATGTTTTCAAAGAATCAGAGAGTTGGGCTTGAAGAAAGGTTTTTCAAATTGAAAAAAATGGAAAATAGTTTATTTCAGCAGGTGAAATTTTGTCTGAAGCATCATCAGGAGAAAAGTCAACTTTTATTTTTCACCAGATAATTTCAACTGCCCATTGTCTTTCTGGAATTTCAGATAGGAATAAAAAGACTCCATTGCTACTTCTGATGAATTTATTATGCTGAAGAAAGTTTCCCATGGACTGACAGAAAACGTCTGTGGGCTGGCACCAGTCCATGGACAATGGGTTGGGGAACACTGCTCCAAGCAGTGAGATTTTTTTTTTGTATTGTAAAAATTTGAGCAAAATAAGTTAATTTCATGTCATCACATCATCCCATAGGGTTGTCTGAAAGTAAAATATTAATTATGCAATTTTTTTGTCTCCAGGAGACGCTTGACTAGCATTTCTGAGAGCAGAGTCGCTCACTGAATTGCAAACAACCTTCCTCTTTGATTAAAAGAATAAAAAAGTCACGAGATATTCTTGTTTTTTTTTTTTTTGTACAGGCGAAGGCATTAGCGCAAGTGATCATAGCTGGTGTAACTGTCGTTGGGAAGGCCTTCATGCAGGCCCTGCGCCAGGAAATCAATGGTAAGTGGCTTTTTTGATGCCTTGTTTTATTTTTGGCGTCTGATTTGATAATTTTTGGCAGCCAGTCAGCAAGCTGCGTCTCGGTCTGGCGGTGGTCGTGCAGGAAGAGCCTCAGCTGCAGCTTCAGCACGCCAAGGGATCAGTCTGCAAGAAGCGAAGCAGATCTTGAATGTTGAGTCTTTGGAGATATCCGAGATTGAGAAGCGGTACGATCACCTTTTCAATGTGAACGACAAGTCGAAAGGCGGCTCATTCTATTTACAATCTAAGGTGAGAGAGAGAGAAAGCAGATCTTGAATGTTGAGTCCTTGGAGATATCCGAGATTGAGAAGCGGTACGATCACCTTTTCAATGTGAACGACAAGTCGAAAGGCGGCTCATTCTATTTACAATCTAAGGTGAGAGAGAGAGAGACGACGATTTCAATTCCAATGACGTGTCTTTTAGATAACCTAGAATGCCATAAACAACCTGATTTCATCTAAAAAATGAAAAAAATGAAACACGAAAGGACGAAATCGATTTGCGTGATTTCTGGGAAGAAATACGAGGGTTTGTCCCACTTTGAGTTGACCTTGGGTATTTATAGAGTTGTATGTCTGTAAATTAAATGCCCATGATGTTCTAAGGTTCTGGGATTTTCTTCACATTTCGAAAAGAAATTTCAATTTTTTTTGCGTGATGATTAGTGAATACTTACCAGTTTCCGCCGTAGTTCTCCGCCCATGTCACAGTGTGCTAAATATTTGTCAACATAGCTGAAAGAAGGGAAACCTTTTTTTGTTCTAACCATAATCTTTCTATACTGTATCTTGTAAAATTTTCAAAATTTTCTGACAATTATTTTGTTTACAAGAAATAAAAACAAAAAGCATTTATTTTTACAAGCACAATCCTTTATGTGTTGAAGTATGATGTTCTGTTCAACTAATCATGTAGACATGAACAAACAATAAAGACACGCTATTTATGCAGAAGAAATTGTATTGCTCAAGAGAATTTAAAATTTTTCATTTTGAGTTAAGAAAAACTGGGGTGCAGGCCTTACATGGAAATTGTTCTGTCTTCACTCGTTTTAGACAAATTTATCCCAGTAAATTGGGCTTTTGTTTTACTTTTGAGAAAGTAGGATAGTTTTTGTCGCAAGCACATTGTAGTGACATCTAGTGACGCAAGCACAATTTTAAATGTGATTTACTTGGTACTGAGGTGAAATTTCTTCTGTTGACATCATTAGTTTTTTTTAAGGTCTTGTACATTTGCAATCTTGTGCAAAATTCACATCGGTCATGTACACTTTTGTAACTAAAAAATCACTTGTCAATTTTCTGCGAAGTAGTAATCCTTGTAACATATTTCTCATCCGTTTTTGGAAAAATTTCCAGGCCTGCAATAATCAGAAATTGTTCAATGAGAAATAGTTTTCGGATTCTCCTTTGGGTTCGTTAGGACTCAATCTTGGTATTCCAAGGTCTTTTGATGATCGTGCTGATCTTCCCTTTTTTCTTTCGTCCGAAATAACGCTTTCAGATTTACCGGGCAAAGGAGAGATTGGATGCTGAGTTGAAGCTGGCAGCGGAAGAAGGAACAACGCGGTCTTCCGGGAATCGTGAAAGCCGGGAAAAGAAGGGCTCGTGACGACGCGATTAGTTCATATTTCTAGGGAGTTTTTAAGTGCAATTGTCACGTTTGTGTACGTGATTTAGAGACCTGTTGTGTATGTTGCTGTTCTTGCTTGGTGGAATCGAAGTCCCAGTGTCGGCCAAGGAAAACTGCAATTTTTTTCCAACAGGAATATTCTAGATTCGTGCGATCTTCTGTCCATTTTCTTCTGCGAGTTACTCACCGAATTATTAGAATTTGCGTTTGAAATTATTAATTTGGGAGAGAGATGAATATTCAGAGTTGATTTCGTAAAATTGGACACATCTTGGGGAGGAAGGATCCTTGATGAATCATTCATTGGGAAAGTATTGACCAAATAATGTTGACAAAAATAAAATAAAGTGGTCTTCAAAATAATTCATGCCTTGATGGTCAAATTAGGGTGATGTCAGTTTTTGTCTCGTCAGAAAATGACACAGTACGAAAGAATCCAAAATAAGTTATTCTTCCTTCGTAAGATGTCGCCACCGCATGTGTCTTCTCGTGTCTTGCGTGGGTTCTCGAAAGCAAATCGGCGCCTGTATTTCTCACTCTCATAGAAACCCTATTTCTCATTTAAATTTTAATTGATTCTTTCCCACATTTTTTCGCTACTTTGTGTCGCTCATGGACGCTGTTTTTCATGTGGAAAATGTGGTTCATATACTTCATAGGCCTGAAATTTCTTCTTGAGTTCTCGAGGGATTTCAGTGCTTCATATAACGACTCTCGGTTGTTCGCATATTTTAAAAGATGACTTACAACACTGCTGCAGTGTTACTTTTTCGAAGGCTATTTTTTGTTAGTATTTATTTTTTAGCAGAAATAATTTATGCAGGCTTGGGTAACTCGCAGTTGAGATGGTTTTTCAGCTTACATTTTTTGTTTTGAAACAATACTTGTAAAAAAAAAAGCTAAAAACAAAGCACCTTATTACTGACCAGAGGAAAAAACAAGCGTCTCCTTGCACTATGATCGCAGCCTACGGCTAAATAAATATTCTTCACGCGATCTTAAAAATTTTGTTCGTAAACTGGGCTTACTTCAATGGCACCAACATAGCCACAGAGAGGTGACAACGTGGTTTGCAGCGTTCACACCTTTTTAGAAGAGAAAGTTATGAAGCGTTCTTTTGACCGATAAGGAAGGAGTTGACGTTAAAGGCACTCGCCTTGCATGACAACGACATCGCTAAGGTAAAAGTGTCGAGGAAAATTCAAGACACAAATTTATTCTCAAGAGCCACACTCGAGATGGCGAGAGAAAAAAAAAAGTCTTGTGCTCAAACAAGTCAAATGAACGTTTTTCTTGCGTTTCGAAGCGTAGAAAAGCTTCGTTATGAACAAAAAATCGATAAAACGAAATCTGAATAACATTGTAACTATTGGACGGGGCCCAAAAAAATTCGCTTTAATTATTGAATCATTATAACTAGGTGCATTTGAAAGCGATTCTGCTATATTTAAATTACGGTGAGACCTCCACATGCGGACGCCTCGACCTGCGGACAATTCGACATAGGGACACTTATTTTCCCAGAAAAAATCAATAAATATGGCCCGACATGAGGATACTGACTCAACATAGGGGCATTTTGTGATAAAATTGTAAATACATTTCAGGCCAAATAAAGAGAAACAGATATTTCCAACCCTAAAATTGATGTAAGAAAACTTCTGGTGCATTTCTCTCACCAAATTACCATCCATTTAGCTAATTAAAAAAAATTACCTCCAGCATATAGGGACTTCTACTTTTTTTTCACTTGAATGTTATTTTTGTAGATGCCAAAATTTCAGTGTGCAGTACAGAGATACACTATTCAATGCTTCAAATGTTCTTATTGAGTTGAAAATGTATTCACTAATTCAAATTCAATTGGCAAAAAAAAATTTCAGGGAATTCTGAAGAATATTTCTTCCTCAAAACACCAATTAAAATTATATAATGTAAGTCTATGAGAAAACAATACTTGACTTAGAGACATTTCAACTTGGGGACATTCTTGATGCACCAATTATGTCCGCATCTTGGGATCTCACTGTATGTATAGCTCATTTTAAGATAACCCTCATGAAATTTGACGTTGCCGGCAAATTTAAGACTTCATAAATTTAAAAACGCTCATCGATTTAAAAAAAAGTCAAATTCAGAGAAAAGGTGCGTCTTCATATTCGAGATTATGTGGTCTATTCACTTCAGGCAGATGACCGAAAATTCGAAGGTCTTTGTTGTTGTTGTTTCATGAATTATCTCCTAATTGCAGTCTGAAGAATGGCTTCATGCGCAAGCCCAACAAGAAGGTTGGTCAAGGGCGACCAAGCTGGAATCTCGAGTGGCGTCCCAGGGTTTGGTTGGGATTCTGATGCGTAGGAACGTGGCGGCCATGGTGGAGGTGAACTGCGAGACAGATTTTGTTGCCCGAAACGAACTCTTCAAGCAGCTCGTCAAGGATGTTGCGTCTTCGTGTCTGGATAACTTCGCTTCTCGTGTCGGCTCCGCTGGACAAGCAAACAAGGCAAGTACTGTTGGTACTTGAATGTAACATGCCGTTAATTGGTAGACTTGCAACAAAATTCGGAGGACCAGAAAAAAATGTTGTAGAGAGAATTATGTTGTAGAAAATGCCACGGGACAAGAAAAAAATCATTATGCAGAGAAGGTCGTTGTATAGACATGACCTTTGTAGAGCGAGTTCACCTGTAAAAAGGAAATCAAAAATTTTTTTCCTGCGAATTCAAGACGCGCTATCAAGTATTCAGCGGAAAAANTCTTGCTTGGTGGAATCGAAGTCCCAGTGTCGGCCAAGGAAAACTGCAATTTTTTTCCAACAGGAATATTCTAGATTCGTGCGATCTTCTGTCCATTTTCTTCTGCGAGTTACTCACCGAATTATTACAATTTACGTTTGAAATTATTAATTTAGGAGAGAGATGAATATTCAGAGTTGATTTCGTAAAATTGGACACATCTTGGGGAGGAAGGATCCTTGATGAATCATTCATTGGGAAAGTATTGACCAAATACTGTAATGTTGACAAAAATAAAATAAAGTGGTCTTCAAAATAATTCATGCCTTGATGGTCAAATTAGGGTGATGTCAGTTTTTGTCTCGTCAGAAAATGGTACAGTACGAAAGAAACTAAATTAAGTTATTCTTCCCTCGTAAGATGTCGCCACCGCATGCGTCTTGCGTGGGTTCTCGAAAGCAAATCGGCGCCTGTATTTTTCACTCGCATAGAAACCCTATTTCTCATTTGAATTGATTCTTTCCCACGTCACGGTAAATTTTTTCGCTACTTTGTGTCGCTCATGGAGACTGTTTTTCATGTGGAAATTGTTGGTCATATACTTCATAGGCCTGAAATATCGTCTTGAGTTCATGAGGGATTTTAGTGCTTCACAAAACGACCCTCGGTTGTTCGCATATTTTGAAAGATGACTTACAACACTACTGCAGTGTTACTCTCTCGAAGCCTATTTTTTGTTAGTATTTATTTTTTAGCAGAAGTAATTTATGCAGGCTTGGGTAACTCGCAGTTGAGATGGTTTTTCAGCTTAAATTTTTTTTTTTGAACGTTATGAACATTTTTTTTTTCGATTTTTGTTTCGTGGAATAATGACTGGTCTCCTTTTTTGTTCGCAGAGGAACGTGATACTAGCGTCGGATGCCGATTTATTTATAAGAAGTGCGCTAGAATTTTTATGACCCGAATGAAGTTACCGTGGTTGTATCGGTGTCTCTCCACTGTTGCACCAAACGTCGCAAGTGTGGAAAAATCTTCTCTTTCAATACTTCGCAAGAAAACTGGCTATTCCTTCCTCAACTGCAAGAAGGCACTCGCCTTGCATGACAACGACATCGCTAAGGTAAAAGTGTCCAGGAAAATTCAAGACACAAATTTATTCTACAAATCCACACTCGAGATGGCGAGAGAAAAAAAGAAAAATCGTGCTCGTGAATTGAAGGCGAATTGAAAATATTTGAGCTTTTGAATTATATTCCTGTGGACAAGGTACGATTTTCAAAACTGTTTAAAATTTCAATAAAATGTGAAAGCCGCGTGGGCAGTGGGATACATGCTTCTCAGTTCATCGGAAACTCCATCGTTCAGCGTGGACCGAAAAGTTCCAGAGTTAAACTTTGATAGAAGTTCTCATGAGTAAAAAGGTTGCAGATTTTTTTTTTATACTAGCACTGGGATTTGTTCTCTGAAAATGTGCGCCGAAATAAATGGACCATTGGCATGATGAATATTTCCAAATTTTCTGCAACCAAAAATTTTTGCATTGGCAAATAATCCTGAGAACGATATAGGAAAATTAAAAAAAAAATCCCCTGGCCAATGGAACTGCCGAAACGACAGAAAAACGAATGATTCCGAATTATTCAACATTTTTCGCGACTTAAAAAGGATAATATTAAAAAAAAGAAAAATGAATTTTAATTTTCTCTAACACTCCTGACAAATTTTCTGCACTCGGCGAAATGAGTGCAGAACTCAAGCCACAGAATAAAAAAAATGTTCACTTCTTACCCGCAATGTACCGAAAAAATGTATTGGAAATACGAAAAATAAAATACTAGAAGCCTAAAACGGCAGTAGAAAAATTAGAAATAATTTCACATTTTTTACTGACATAGAAAACATTATTTTCTTGCGTTTCAAACCATAGAAAAGCTTCGTTATAAATAAAAATTCGATAAAACGAAATTAGCATAACATTTTAACTATTGGACGGGCCCAAAAAAAAAGAAATTCGCTTCAATTATCAATTCATTATAACCAGGTGCATTTTAAAGCGATTCTGCTGTATATTTAAATTATGTATAGCTCATTTTAAGATGGCCCTCATGAAATTTGACGTTGCCGGCAAATTTAAGACTTCATGAATTTAAAAACGCTCGTCGATTTAAAAAAAAAAGTCAAATTCAGAGAAAAGGTGCGTCGCATATTCGAGATTATGTGGTCTATTCACTTCAGGCAGATGACCGAAAATTCGAAGGTCTTTGTTGTTGTTGCATGAATTATCTCCTAATTGCAGTCTGAAGAATGGCTTCATGCGCAAGCCCAACAAGAAGGTTGGTCAAGGGCGACCAAGCTGGAATCTCGAGTGGCGTCCCAGGGTTTGGTTGGGATTCTGATGCGTAGGAACGTGGCGGCCATGGTGGAGGTGAACTGCGAGACAGATTTTGTTGCCCGAAACGAACTCTTCAAGCAGCTCGTCAAGGATGTTGCGTCTTCGTGTCTGGATAACTTCGCTTCTCGTGTCGGCTCCGCTGGACAAGCAAACAAGGCAAGTACTGTTGGTACTTGAATGTAACATGCCGTTAATTGGTAGACTTGCAACGAAATTCGGAGGACCAGAAAAAAATGTTGTAGAGAGAATTATGTTGTAGAAAATGCCACGGGACAAGAAAAAAATCATTATGCAGAGAAGGTCGTTGTATAGACATGACCTTTGTAGAGCGAGTTCACCTGTAAAAAGGAAATCAAAAATTTTTTTCCTGCGAATTCAAGACGCGCTATCAAGTATTCAGCGGAAAAAAAAGGAAATTTTCAAGCGTTGTATAGAGAAAAAATAGTCCAGAAGTGGACATTAGTTCAGAAACAATTAGAAAAATCGTTTTGAGATTCGTGGTTTTTTGGAGCATTTAGGACTTCAAAATTTTTGAGAAACAGGTGGAAACGGCGTTGACGTGCTTCCATTACAGATATGTGAATACTTGTCAATTTTCATCATTTCTAACCTCATGAAATTGTGGAGATGAATTTTAAAAAAATGAAAAATACGACGCTCTTATTTTTGACCTCCTTCTTATACTTCCAAAAAATACAAATCTTACTAAAATATAAACTGAAACAAACAAAAACGCATGTGTTGAAAAGCATTTATTCATCAACTGTAGAGAAATAGAATATTGTAGTACATTAAATTATCTCAAACCTGTTTATTTTTTTAATTAGCCATTTTAAACTAATCGTAAAGTAAAGCGAGATAATTTCTGATAAGAGCACAATCCTTCGTACTTCTCGTACTACATTTTCTGTACAAAAAGATCAGCATTTTCTATTTTCTGATGATTTTTAATTATGCACGAGTTGGATTTTTCCATTTTTGGGCCCATGAGTAAAAATTCTTTTGGCCCATGAACACATAATCGAGGGAACATTTTTTCTATTCTGAGACGAGAAAGCAAAAATTCAGTAACGAAAATTCCAAGACTTATCTCATGAAAATTTTATATTTCGTCAACTGTAATTTTCGACATTTCGACCATGTTGATGCTCACATCAAGTCATTTGAAAAATTCATCAGATTATCTTCAATTTTAGTATCTTTGTTGCTTGAGGTGAAGTAGTAGTTCAATTTTTGAAAACATTTCCTTCTCGGTTGCTTATACAGATCCTGATCTCTGGGGAAGAACTGAAGGAGCTGAAATTGCATGGAGGTCGATTGCTGGCGGACGACCTCGCCCTGGGTGTTGGCAAACTCGGTGAAAATTTGGTGGCCCGACGAGGCTGCGCTTTCGGCGTGGCCCATGAAACTGGGTCCATTTCAGCCTACGCTCACCCGTCAAATACTGCCGGTGTGCCCTCGGGCGATCATGCTGTGTTCTTTGTGGGTCGTGTCGGCGGACTAGTGGCATTTGACGGATTTTGCAGAAATCCTGACGTGGGGCTTCAGTTGTGTCGGCACATCGTCGGTACAGTGCTTAGTTGATTAATTTATTTTATTATTAAATGTGAGAATTTCCGGGGGGTAATTTCCACGCCCCAATCGGGTTTTTCGTACGAATCTTGAAGAGTACATTTATTTTCACTCTCTCGGCCTGGTTGAAATTGAAAAACGAGTGGAATTTGGTGTGTTATCATTTTCAAATTTCAATCGTTTCTTAATGTCAACCATGTCAAGAATTTGTTCTTGACAAATATAGGAAGTTAAAAATTTGTTGATTTACTGAATATTTACAAAAGAAATGGAACACAGAATTTGGTTGGTCTTGGAACAGGAAAGTACCGAAATTTCACCCTATTTTAAAGTTGGTGTACTTCAAGATTTGAATGTTTCACAAGCAATAGTCATGCACAAAATTGTTGAGTACAAATACACACAAGAGCTTGAATCAGGATGCCAATTTTGGGAAAAAGGAAAACTCGCCTTCAAGGACAAAAAACAGCAACAGGTTTTTAGAAATGAAATACAGCCTTGAAGGTCCAGAAAGAAGCATGAGAACCAAGGTCTTTTGAGATTCTCACAGAGATGAAGATTCAACCAAGAAATAAGGTTCTCAGATTCTGCGTGACAAATTCAATACTGTCATTTATTTTTACAACAAATCAGACCGTCAGAGTGAGGAGAAATTAGGAAATTATGTCAAATAAACCTCGTAATGGGATGTATTTTCAAATTTCTGTTCACTTTGTCGGCTGGGTTGATATTGAGGAATAACTGAAATTTGAAAATGATCCAATCACGAGGATAATTTTCTACTAATCTTTCTCATAATTAATTTTTAGGTGGTCGAAATGCTCAGATGAATTAAGATTGTCTCGGTGAATTCCATTTTTCATTGAGCAATGTCAAGTACAGTAGTTAAACATCAAGTTGAAACATTTTTAGATTTTTGTTGAATAAATATAAAATACCGGTGTTCTAGGGATCTACGTATTCCAGATTACATCGCATTTTGAAATGCTGTGTCATCTTGAATTTTAGAGATAATGAAGTTCGCGTCGTATGAATAAATCTAGAATACGCACTAATATCAAGATAAATTAATTCTGTCAAAATTCGAAGCATTTTCCGTGTGCTAAGGCCTGATTGTGTGTTGATTTTGAATTCATTCAGGCATGAAACCTTCGTCAATTGGACAAATCGACGAGTTTTTGGCGAAACAAGCGGCGGGTTCGGATCAAGATAATATTCCTGCTGCTGCTGCTGTGGAAGATGAAGAGACCCAGAAAAAGGACGAGTCTCGGCTCATTTTCCAGGAATTCCTGGAAGACGAAAACGTTCTAGTGGGGGATGTTTTGTTGGAGAACGGCATTCTTGTGTCTGATTTTGTGCGTTTCGAGTGTGGGGAATCGTGATGCTTCTGAAAAGGAAAGAAAAAAAAATAGCTGTGTAGTGCTTATTTGAAATGAAAAATTCAAGAGTTTCTGTGACAGGGGCTTTGATGGTTGGTTGCGAGTGCTGTAACTTTTCAGCGCTTTTTTTTTCTAGCATGTCTAGATTTTTGAGGGACCGAATTGGCTCACGATTTTTCTTTGAATTTCGGAAAAATGTAGCGGAGAAAAATTGAGATCTAAGAATTTGTCACTGCGAGTATCGGGCATTTTAAAATCAAAGAATGCATTTTTAAATGTCCCAACTCAGTCATTTAATTGTTGCAGATCATTGTTCCCCAATCCGTTGTCCGTGAACTGGCGCCACTGTGCAGAAATTTTTGTTGGTCTGCAGAAAATTTCTTTAGCATAATGTATTCATCAAAATTAGCAATTAAGTCTGTTATCTTTGTCTGGAATTTCAGGAAGACAATAGCCATTGAAATGAAAAACGAAAGTTGGCTTTCCTCCTAATAATACATTGGACAAATTTTCATCTGCTGAAATAAACTTTTTAAAAATTTATTTTTACGTTCTAAGAAACCTTTCTTCGACGGGTGGAAAGATTAAAAACTTCTGTAAGGTGGTATACGTGCGAACTAACCAAGAGTTGAACTTAAAACGTTTTTTAGTCTATGAAAACTTTATGGACGGTATTTCAGAAAGTTTGTTTTGAAAAACTGTTTGCGTAAATGCTATGAAACTTTGCCAGTCCGCAGAAATTTGCTGGTCTGCAAAAGATTTTATGGATTGGTCTGCAAAAAAATTTATGGAAATTTGTGGACCAGAAAGGTCCATATACATATATACAGTTCTAGGCACTGTATATACTGAGCAACTAGAATTTTGCACATAACTTCACGCAAACTGAAACTTAATTTCGAATCAGTTTTCTTGCATTATTTAGACCTTTTCATCAAATAATATAAATTTTTGTTTTAAAACTACGGTACTTCTTTTTTGCGTGCAGGGGATTGGTTTTTTTTGAAGGAAAATTTGGATCCCATATTTCTCTAGACTAATCAGAATGTTGCACATGACGTCGTGCAAACTGAAACTTGATTCGGAAATATTTTTTTGCGTTTTTGAACTTTTCATTAAAAAATCGTATGAATTTTAACTTGCGATTATGTATTTGTATGCGTGCAGGGGATTGTTATTCTTGAAAGGAAAATTCAGATCTATATTCCTTTGGACTAACTGAAATTTTTACTTCATGCGAACCGAAAATTAATTTGAAATTAATTTGCTTGCATTCTTACGACTTTTTCATCGAATAATCTTGTACAAATTTTTCATAATTACCTATCTTTTATCTTGCCGGGGACTGGTATTCTTGAAGGGAAAATTCGACTGCCATATTTATGCATTTTGGGTTTATAACTGTGTTTTTATTTTTTGCGTGCAGGGGATTGGTGGGGGATCGGGGTGAAAGATGATCGGTAAAAGCGGAAAGTGATTGAAGGGAAAATTCGACTCCATATTTATGCATTTTGGGTTTATAACTGTGTTTTTATTTTTTGCGTGCAGGGGATTGGTGGGGGATCGGGGTGAAAGATGATCGGTAAAAGCGGAAAGTGGTCATGAGGGCTGACTGTTGGTGTTGGCAGCTATTCGCGGTGTTGGTTGTGATTGCCTGCGGGCAATCAGCCTCGGACTGTCCCGGGCTTTGCACCTGTCGCGATGGAGACCGTGAGGTCGAGTGTGACCGGGCCGGGCTTGACACCGTGCCCCAGGTTCTCCACGTTCAGGTCAGTCACTTGCTTCCCCTTCAGCAGCTGCCGAATTCACTTTTTTTTCATTCTTTGATGAAAATTAATATTTTTCTCATGTGCTGTTTATTTGAAAGAAAAGGGATGATTTCACAATTGACGCTGGAGGAGTTGAAAAAAAAATCATGCCGAATAAATTGTTTAAACAGAGAGCTTTGCTTTTTTTTTTAAATAAAATTGTAATGCTTACAAGTTGGTTATTTTTAATTTAAAGGATTGTATTATCAAATGTACCATGCACAGAATCTGGGCAAAAGCTGTAAAATATACTGTAATATATATATTTTTATACTGAGATTACAGGGGGGAAATGTGTCTAGTGAGACAAGATTTTTAAGACATACAAAGAAATTTCGAAGACCCAGAAATGAATTTGTTAAAATGAAAAATTTCCTTAACAGTAGAATTTAACAAATATCATTACAGCAAATGTTATTTTCCAATCTCTGTCCAATAGCTACACTTTTTTTATAATTTTGTTCCACAAATTTTTGCTCATGGCAATGCTTTTTTTCATGGTCTCAAAATGCTTTATTGTGACAAGATTATTTTGCAATGAATGAATGAAGGAACAGAACATTTTATTTGCTGCTTTTCAGCATTCACAAGGTTCAATCAAGATTTCCACAACCAAACCCCCTTCCCACCCAGCCCAAATCCACTCAATGACATTTAATCACGTCAAGAGCAGGAAACGGAGCACAAATTGATAAAAAAAATGAAAGAAAATACAATCCATGAAATACACCTTAGACTCCTTAACTAATTCGGATCAGTTCTGATCTTAGTGCTTCTTTGTTAATATTTCGAACAGTCAACAAGAATGGCGATATTCGCGTTGTCCGTGCTGTTGGTGGTCCTGATGATGCATCCAGATGCGTCATACGGCAGGTGTTCAGTGCAAGATGGCCGACTGCATTGCACAGAGACGTGTGATGCGGACGCGGTCCGAGCGGCCGAGTTCGACGGCCGGATCGTCCTGACGGGGCGAGTTCTGGACTTCGGATGCCTGGACTTCTTCGGAATCAAGGTTTGTGAGGTGAAAAACCGGTTTGGAGTGTCTTCTTTACAATTCCTGTGCTTGTCTTGTTTAGAAAGTGGAGTTGTTGGGGCCCACTCGATGCGAAGGTAACGTTCGAGCGTCGCTGGTGGATCCCGTCGACCTTTGCCTTGGTCATGGAGAAACGACGGAATTGCCGTCTTCGTCCTTTTCGCCGTCTACGGTGGAATTGGCGAGGGCGTCGATGACGGTGACGTTGGAAGCTTCGACTTCTCGCGTCACAGCAGCGACATCTGTCCCAGACTTTGGCAGCCCTACTAGCATTCCAGATGCTGTTTTGGCCTCGTCAACCGTTATGAATGTGCTGACGGCGGGTCCAATACCTGAAACAACGACACATACTACTCCAGCTCCTGGTAAGAGCTTTGGAATAGCTTTTAAGTATTAGCCAGTGCATATAATCGGGCTTCGGTTTTTGACAGTTACAGTTAAGCCTTCCATAATTGTCTCGGTGCTAAAGACATACACCCATTCATTCCCTGACATTGAAAACAAAATACTATATGTAAACATGAATTTAAAGCACAAGGTCTTCAGCTTGTTTCTGTATGAGGTTTAGTTGAATGAACAAATTGGAGAGAATCTTTGATGAGAAATCATATAAGGCCAACAGTTTATCTTGATCCTTTAAGATTTTAGAAAGGGTCTCTTCATTGAATTCCAATACTTGTAAGTCTTTCTTAAGCTTGTTTCTATCAGTGTGAAATGTTGTACATAAGAAGAGAAGGTGCTCTGGTGATGCACAAACTAATGTATTTATGCTGCAGGAGTTACACCACTTGGACACTTTTGAAAATTGGATGAATTTTTTTTACTAAAGTGCCACAAATTTGTCAAAATAGCTACAGTATCATATATTAAGGGGATGTTAGATTTTGCAATGAGATATTTTTTTAAATGGAATTTGATTGTCGATTATGTATTTTTTTCAATCAACACCTTGCTCTGCTCTGAGGAGAGGGGTTTAAGTCTTTGACCCCTTCCAAAATTAGAATCCTTGTCTGTCTGTGATTTTTTTTTTTGAAATTGTGTTGAAATGTTTTTTTTTTTAAATCCCGCAGCTTCGGAGGTTTGTTGCACCCGGCAACGAAATCACGACATTGGACCAATTGTACGCGTACCCACTTTTAGAAGTGCTCGACTTGTCCCGCAACCAAATCAGTCGTGTGGAAGGGAAACCCTTTGAGGCCCAACGATCCCTGGTCACCCTGAACCTCTCGCACAACCGCATATCCGTCATCGGCAAAGACGCCTTCACTGGCCTGACTCGGTCCCTGCACCTCTTGGACCTGAGCGGGAACAAACTGGGTGTCCTGGACCCCAGAGTCTTTGGCAAATTGGAAACGCTGAGGAAGTTGGTGTTGAGCGAGAATGAGTTGACGGGGTTGGGCCGGTTGGCCTATGACTTGCCCAGACTGGGGACCCTGGACTTGAGCGGGAATCGGATCTCGGGGGTGAAGGAGATTTGGGAAGGTGGGGCTTCTTGGGGTCTGAGGGAACTGAAACTCTCTGGCAACCCGCTGGCCCTCTCTGGGAAAGACTTTGAATTCCTGCCGCGGTTGGAGAAGCTGGACTTGAGTCTGTGCCACTTGTCTGTCCTTGAGCAGTCTTCCTTTGCAGGTTTGTGTGTGTGTGTGTCTTTGTGGGTTCCAAATACAAGGAAATCTTGTTTCAGTGCTGCAAAGCACTTGGGGAAATGGAAATAAAATCAACTTTTGTTATAGAGCAGTGTTCTGCAATCTACCTATGGCCTGCAGCAGAAGTTTTTTGCCTGTCTGTGGGACATTTGCTTCAGCATAATAAATGTATCAAAAGCTGCAGTTTATTTATTTTTTTTAATCTTTGTTCAAAATTTTGGAAAGTTAATGGCAATTGAAATTATCTGATGAAAAATAAAAGCTGGCTTTTCTCCTAATAATGCTTCAAAGAAATTTTCATCTGCTGCAATAAATTAATTTGTATTTTTCATTCTAAGAAACCTTTCTTCAAGCCCACCTTTCTAATTTGTTGAAGATATTCCACTATAGTGGCCTCATTGGTTCTTATCTTGTTTTTTGCAAAAAAAGTAGAAACTTTTGAAATACCTGCCATGAAGTCTTTCAAACAAAACCTTCTTGAGTCTGCAAACAATTCATGAAACTTTGCTGACCCGC